CGCTCTTCATATATATATATATATATATACACACACACACACACACACACACACACACACACATATATATATATTACACACATATACAAAGAATTTACAATCTCATACTACAAAAAGAAAATCAAAGAAAAAAAATTAAGAAAAAAGAAAAGAAGAAAATACAGAAAAAAGAAAGAAGAAAAAGCAGATTTACATGCATAAAAAACTTACCCTAATCTTCCTAATTAATACTTAAATAAACACTTAAATAAAAAAGACTTCTGACAAAACGAGTCTTCCAATCATTCTCATTGTACTGTTTATACTGCCGTTGTTTTTTTGCACAGTTTTATATTCTTTAATATTGTTCCCGTCTACTCCACAAACGGTATTTGTTGTGTTTACAGGTATCACTCAAGTTCTGCTAATATGGTGTGGTTGGTACAATATGATCTTATATAATTTTTTCATCTTCTCATTTGGAAAATATTTCGCAACAACAAATAAAGATGCTCTGGTGATGCTGCTGCTAGTGAGACCCACCTTAAATGTGGGTAAGATCCAGTTCTGGTTGGGTACACATCAGCTGAAGATCAGGGACATAAACTTCCCCAGATAACCCGCAAAAGAATCAGTCAGAGGCATTCTGAAGTGTGTCGATAAAGACCTTGGCTCCAGCCTCCATGGTTTGCATAGAACTTATGTTCGTTACCTGGTAAGTGTTAAGATAAAGGGGCGGAAGTTTTGCTATGGTCCTATGATTATCAGCTTGTGATAATTGCAGGTTTTCTCATTGCTAGCACCAGTATAATAGAATATAATCCCTGTTGAAAAATGAGAGATCCCATCTGCATTGGCATACCATCGGCTTCTACAGTCGCATCTGCTTGTGCAGCCATTCCCTTGATCTCTTGGATGGAGTCTCCTGTTTTGCTTTCTTTATTTAATGGGATTGTTTGGTCACCTACTTTAATTATGGGTAACTCTATTATAATGTTTCTATAATTGGGTTTTTATGCCTATAAACCCCATGGAAACTGAAATATACTCGGAGTCGAGAGTGGATTGCATGCTCTTTATTCAGCTCATAATGGTGAGGAGGAATGGAAGTTCCTCCACAATATCTGCTTTATATACATTATTTACACAATGGGCTGCACGTGATTGGCTAATTCCAGGATTCTCCTGTAGGCCAATCAGGTTGTGGATTCACTTCCACCTGGAGCTACATTGGGTGGTTCCTGTGGACCAGTCATACTGCTGCATTGTGGATCCTATTCAACTCAGTACATAACAGAAACCTATTTGGGCATTAGACAGTATAGAAATAAATAAATAATAAAATGCATTGAGAATCAGCTATGCTTACAAATCCTTTTGGAATAAGCCACCCAAATTCCTGAAAGACGTTTATCATTAACAGCTGCATCCATGGCGCAACTCTCCTGGATCTGCCCATGACTGTCATTTTCATACAAGCCAGGAATCCATCACTGATTGGTTGTTGTTGTTTTTAAAGCAAGAATTTAGAAATTGTTTGTTGTGAGAGTGTTGTGCTCCATGCAGGAATGTTCAAGGCAGCTAACGTCATTAATTTAAAATCATACCATTTCTAAAACAGATAAAACTAGGAAGGTATAGCACATGTTGATTCTAATGTCTGTGATCACATTTTGATGAAATGTTCCAATTGTCCACTCACAGGAGAGGAGAAGTTTAGGCCATACCCACACCATATATTCAAAGCGCTATGATACAACTTTAAGAGTCATGGCTTCCTGCAAAGGATCCTGGGAACTGTAGTTCGTTATGGGTGCTGAGAATCATTAGGAGACCCCTATTCCCCTCACGGTGAGCTCCCGTTGCTCGGTCCCTGCTCCTGCCAACCTAACAGTTTGAAAGTACATCAAAGTGCAAGTAGATAAATAGGTACCGCTCCGGCGGGAAAGTAAACAGCGTTTCCGTGTGCTGCTCTGGTTTTGCCAGAAGCGGCTTAGTCATGCTGGCCACATGACCCGGAAGCTGGCTCCCTCGGCCAATAAAGCGAGATGAGCGCCGCAACCCCAGAGTCGGTCACAACTGGACCTAATGGTCAGGGGTCCCTTTACCTTTATTCCCCTCACAGAGCTACAAGTGATTTCACAATCAATCCTCCTTCCCATATAAATCTGGGAACTGTAGCTCTGTAAAAGAAATTAAGGTCTCCGAACAACTCCCTGCACCATTATCAAACTATAGAAACTATAGAAACCGATGAAAATAGAGATGTCCTATTCAACAGCAGCATTTTTATTATTTATACCCTGTCCATTGGACTGGGTTACCCCAGCCACTCTGGGCAGCTTCCAACATATATAAAAGCATAATAAAACATTAAACATCCATCTACAGGGCTGCCTTCAGATGTCTTCTAAAGGTTGCGTAGTTGCATGGCTCAGGGGTTGCATATCTCCATACCTGACAAAAATAGGGATGTCCTAAAATATCCTCCAACATTTACCCAGGGAAAATAGGGGTGGCCTGAGGAAAAGCGGGACATTCTCGGATCAAATCAGAAACTGTGGCACTTCTGTAAATATGGGGCTGTCCCTGGAAAATAGGGGCACTCGGAGGATCTGAGGGTCTTGTCTGGATTATTTGAACTGGATGCCCCATTGTTCTACCCGGACACTGAGGTCCAGAGCCCCACGGCCCTTCTGGCGGTTCCCTCACTGCGAGAAGTCAAGTTACAGAGAACCAGGCAGAGGGCCTTCTTGGTAGCGGCACCCGCCCTGTGGAACGCCCTCCCATCAGATGTCAAGGAAATAAACAACTCTCTGACTTTTAGAAGACATCTAAAGGCAGCCCTGTTTAGGGAAGCTTTTAATGTTTGATGCATTACTATATTTTAATATTTTGTTGGAAGCCACCCAGAGTGGCTGGGGAAGCCCAGCCAGATGGGCGGGGTATAAATAATAAATTATTATTATTATTATTATTATTATTATTATTATTATTATTATCTCGCCCTCCAAGAGCAATGCAAGCTTGCAGGCCATGCTCCTCCTTGGGCTCAGATTGTCTGCTGAACACCAGCATAAGGAGAACTCGGAAGCTACAGAAAATGCTGACAAGCCTTTAATGTTCATGGCAGGGGAGCGGGCGCCACCTAATAGCCTCTCGAGACACCTTTCCCCCTCATAAACCGCGGCTCGTGCCAATAAGAGCCGAGTAAACATGGCTAGTATCTTAATGACCTTTGGGCATTAGCAGATGGCCTTTTCATGATCACAGATTAGCGGTACACAGCCTTTTTCTAATAGGTACTAACAGGTGGCAGGGACACTATTCATTTCTGTGTCATCGAAAGCCAGCAGAACGCCAACCGGGGGGGGGGGAGGTCTTTGCTTTTAAATGATTGTTTCCCCCCTTTGCCCTTGGTCTTCCACCACAGGGACAGAAAGGGGGGGGGAGTGAGTTTAAATGAGAGAAACGGCAGATTCAGGCTAAAGATTAAGGAGCAACAGGAAAAGGCCTAAAAAAAGCTTTGGGAAATCAATTAAGGCTGTGAACCTAAATGCACTTAACTCAAGAGGAAGGCCACATTTAAAGCACATGTATACTGCTTTAATCGCCATGGCCAAAGAATTCTGGGATCTGTAGTTTGTTAGGTGCACAAGAAGTTGTTAGCAAACGCATATGTTCCTCTTTCAGAGCTACAGTTCCCAGGCTTTTCTTGAAAGAGGAGTTGCTAGTTAAAACCACTTTGGAAACTGGAGTTTTCAGAGGGGAATAGGGGTCTCTTAACAAACCAGCATCTTAAGACAGCATCTTAAAAAGCAGAGACATCACCTTGCCAACAAAGGTCCGTATAGTTAAAGCTATGGTTTTCCCAGTAGTGATGTATGGAAGTGAGAGCTAGACCATAAAGAAGGCTGATCGCCGAAGAATTGATGCTTTTGAATTATGGTGCTGGAGGAGACTCTTGAGAGTCCCATGGACTGCAAGAAGATCAAACCTATCCATTCTGAAGGAAATCAGCCCTGAGTGCTCACTGGAAGAACAGATTGTGAAGCTGAGGTTCCAATACTTTGGCCACCTCATGAGAAGAGAAGACTCCCTGGAAAAGACCCTGATGTTGGGAAAGATGGAGGGCACAAGGAGAAGGGGATGACAGAGGACGAGATGGCTGGACAGTGTTCTCGAAGCTGCTAACATGAGTCTGACCAAACTGCAGGAGGCAGTGGAAGACAGGAGTGCCTGGCGTGCTCTGGTCCATGGGGTCACGAAGAGTCGGACACAACTAAACAACTAAACAACAACAACAAACTCCACTTTCCAGAATTCTTTGGGGAAAGCCATGACTGTTTAAAGTGGTATCATGGTGATTTAAATGTATGGTGCAAACATGGTCTAAGTGAATTGAATTGAATGCTTAGGATCGCAATGTAACTGAATGTTGATCATTGGAACTTGCCTTGTACCAGGATCGCAGACCCTCCAACATTTCTCCGATGAAAATAGGAATGTTCCTAAGGAAAAGCAGGGGATTCCAGGATCAAACGAAAAACCGGAACAGCTTCTTTAAATCCGGGACTGTGCCTGGAAAATAGGGACACTTGGGCTGGATCTACACTGATCTGTAAAAACGCTATTAAAGTATAATTTTAAAAGTTATATAGCTCTCAATGCAATTTCCCATTGCTGATAGATTGATGCTCTGCAGCGCCTTCTGGTGTCACACTTTTATAATGCATGTTTAATGTTATAACCGCCCAGTGTAGAGTCACCCTTGGAGGGTCTGGGGCAGGGGTCAGCAAATTACGGATGGGGGCTGGAAGCAGCCCCCAGGCTCATAAATCCGGACCGTGGACCCTGCCACCCACTCGGTCAGTCCCCGCACACTGTGGACACCTAGCCACACAGAGACTGACTTCTGCGATGCTGACACAGCTTCTGGGCGGGCGCCCGCATGCTGACGTAAACCTGGCACGGCCATGGACAGAGAGGCCGGCAGGCGGGCAGCGGGTCTGGACCGCGCCATGGGCATCATGACGGGCACACCATGGGGCTTCAGCCAGAGCTTGGCACACCTTCTGGCCCCACGCTTGGCGCCCTGCTCAGCGCTGCTGCTGGTGGTGCACTTGGCAGCAATGCTGGAGCAGCTGGAGGGTGAGCTATGCGCTGCCTGCCCGGCGCTCTGCATGCGCAGCCTACCCGCCGACTTGGCCTCGGACGATGGGCCGCAGCGCGTGGTGCACACCTCTTGGGAGCTCCACGGGGACAGGCCGATGAAACTGCTGCTGCTCGTCAAAAACGCTGGTGAGCGGGCGGTGCCGAGACGGGATCCTGAGTGCGTGCAGAGTGCATTCCTCCTCCAGGTTCAGAGGCAGCTGCAGGACCAGCTTGCAGGGTATTTATGTTTTTCAAAATATAGTCCGGCCCCCCACAAGGTCTTAGGGACAGTGGACCGGCCCCCTGATGAAAAAGTTTGCTGACCCCTGGTCTGGGGTATTGTTTACATACTGACTTGGGTGAATAGCATCTCGCATAGGAGGTCTTCCAATGCTACCATGATTATCTATAGGAAATGATTTCCTGGACTCATGTGAGGAATCCCTGAAAAGCTTCTGAGAAAACCCAGGATTCCGCAGCACACAGGATATTTCTTACCATTGCCTAAGAGTATAATTTGTAACTTGCCAGGTTGGTGGTTCTGCCTCATGCCATATAGATTGACACACATCCGTTCCCTTGCTGAGTGGAAACTGATGTTCTAATTCTTAACAGCTTCAGGATGTGAGGTAAATCATTGGTGCGCTTCCTCTCTTGTTCAGAGAATGACTTGGTCAAATCCTATAAACCCCCCTGTGATCCTTGGATGAAGGGTGGTATATAAATTTTATAAACAAAATAAATAAATACCTGCAACTCTCTGCCCCATAGATGAGGGTGGAAAATTCAATTTTGTTTGCATCTTTATGAGCAATGATCTAATTCACGTTTTTTTCCCAACCAACATACAAACCAAAAGGTTTCTGGGTTTTGCGATGCCAACAACAACAGGTACAAACATGCCTATATTAGGGGAAATTGTGCATAAAAATGCATATATTTGTGAAAATAGCATACAGAAATGCATCATATTAAGGGGAACTGCTTGCCAAAGTGTGTATATGAGTCAAGAGTGCAAAGAAAATCTGTTGATGAAGAGAAATTTGCAACAAAGTGCTGATGAATTTTCTTGGTTTCCTTAAAAAAAAATTGCCAGGGAAATATGGAGAGCTGAATTTAAGGCTGAGAGAAACAGAATCAACCATCCCTACCCATGACTTCCTGGTTCCTTTGCCCTTCATGGTGGAACTTGACAAGCTCCACCCATGAGTGACATCAGATACTATGGCTCCACCCATTACAGGTTAACCCAAGTCGCAAAGGGTGTTAGCATCAAATGGGGACTTGGATGACAATTCACCCTTCGGCTTCATCTTGAAAGCTGGCCTCCATCTCTCTCTATCTGCTGCATTACGTACCACAGAAATATTCCTATGAGAAGCTTCTCACTAATCAGGCTGTTAAATTAAACTGCTCTAAATTTATTTTATGTGATGCATAAAGTTCACAGGCAGAGGCACCCAGAGTAGTATCGCTGACCTTTCCCAGCGAGTCCTGCACCATCTGAGCTTCTCCTTTCCTACCAATTGGCTGCGAACCACTCTTTCCTCCGACAGCTATTCCCTCTCTGCGCTCTCCCAGACCTGAAGGATTTATTTTGATGAGTCCCTCACCCACATAATGACTTTAAAATTCCTGAGGTCCATACCTTCGAACGTAGCTGGGAATTCAAGGTAATGCCAATTAACAAGGCAGGGCTCAGAAGCACGGATGGAATTAGCTGTCCCTTCTCCATGGAATACCGTCGTAAGTGGATGTGAGATTCTTGACAGCTTCGGAGTTCAACCTCTTAAATCTTCGCATTCTGTGCATACATGCAAGCTCAAAGCATCAGGTGACGAAATTTATTTGTTGCATTTTGTATCCCATTCTTCTTCCGTGACAGAACTCAAGGTGATCTGCAACAGGGCCCCCAGGCCCCCCACCATCCAAGCACTGACCTGTCCCAGATCTGCAAAACTCCAGCAGTGCTGCCATTATCAGGTAAAGGGACCCCTGACCATTAGGTCCAGTCGCGGACGACTCTGGGATTGCGGCACTCATTTCGCTTTATTGGCCGAGGGAGCCGGCGTACAGCTTCCGGGTCATGTGGCCAGCATGACTAAGCCGCTTCTGGCAAACCAGATCAGCGAACGGAAATGCCGTTTACCTTCCCGCCAGAGTGGTACCTATTTATCTACTTGCACTTTGATGTGCTTTTGAACTGCTAGGTTGGCAGGAGCAGGGACCGAGCAATGGGAGCTCACCCCATCACAGGGATCCGAACCGCCGACCTTATGATTGGCAGCCCTAGGCTTTATGGTTTAACCCACAGCCCCACCCATGTCCTGCCATTATCAGGTACCTTCAGACAAGTGCTGAAATCCATCCTTCCAGTTTCTCAAAAAGTCTTTCCCTTTCTGCAAAAGAGGTGCCCTTTCCTCCAACTCATTCTCAAGGCACTTGATAATTTTGGCTGGTGTAAGCTTGCCTGGTATAGTGGTACCTTGGTTCTCAAGCTTAATCCGTTCCGGAAGTCCATTCCAAAACCAAAGTGTTCCAAAACCAAGGCGTGCTTTCCGATAGAAAGTAATGCAAAATGGATTAATCAGTTCAAGAAGGACACTGACAAACTGGAACGTGTCCAGAGGAGGGCAACCAAAATGGTCAAAGGCCTGGAAACGATGCCTTATGAGGAACGGCTAAGGGAGCTGGGCATGTTTAGCCTGGAGAAGAGGAGGTTAAGGGGTGATATGATAGCCATGTTCAAATATATAAAAGGATGTCACATAGAGGAGGGAGAAAGGTTGTTTTCTGCTGCTCCAGAGAAGCGGACACGGAGCAATGGATCCAAACTACAAGAAGGAGACTCCACCACACTCCTGACAGTAAGAGCTGTTCGACAGTGGAATTTGCTGCCAAGGAGTGTGGTGGAGTCTCCTTCTTTGGAGGTCTTTAAGCAGAGGCTTGACAACCATATGTCAGGAGTGCTCTGATGGTGTTTCCTGCTTGGCAGGGGGTTGGACTCGATGGCCCTTGTGGTCTCTTCCAACTCTATGATTCTATGATTCTATGATTCTATGATTCTATGGTTCCAGACTTTTAAAAAACAACCCCTAAAACAGCAATTTAACATGAATTTTACTGTCTAATGAGACCATTGATGCATAAAATGAAAGCAATAAAGAAGGTACTGCAGTCACAGAATAAATAAATCAGTAGCTGGACTGGGTTCCACACAATCACAAAAACAAAACAAAAGAGCCACACACAAAAAAGAGGAAAAATAAATAGCAAAAACAGACAGACCTCAGCGTAATGGAAGTGTGGCACTCAAATTGAAAGCGTAACACTCAAAACGGAGCACGTTTGGCTTCCAAAAAAAGTTCACGAATCAGAACACTTACTTCTGGGTTTGCAGTGTTTGGTTTCTAAGTTGTTTGAGTACCAAGGCGTTTGAGAACCAAGGCACCACTGTGTGAAGTTGTGAAGCAGTCAGGGGTTAAGGGGCATGTGTGCTTTTATTTCCATTAACAATTTCTCCAGAATTCTGCAGCCTCCCCAGTTGCCCACTCTTCCTGATCTGGAAAGGTTCAATGCGAGGAGTTATTTCAGTGTCATCCATTGGGCATTAGTTGGCCAAGGGAAGTAATAGTACCGCTCTATTCAGCCTTGGTCCGGCCCCCACCTGGAGCCTTGTGTCCAGTTCTGGGCACCACAATTTGAGAAGGATGTTGCCAAGCTGGAATGTGTGCAGGGAAGGGTGAGCAAGATAATAAAATCATTTGGAAATCAAGCCTTATGAGGAATGGTTGGCTATGTTTAGCCTGGGGGAGAGGAGACAGAGAGGAGATATGAGAGCCATCTTCAAATATCTCAAGGTCTGTCACATGGAGGATGGAGCGAGTTTGTTTTCTCCTGGACTTGAACCAATGTCTTCAAGTTACAAGAAAGGAGATTCTGGCTAAACATTAAGAAGAACATTCTGACAGTAAGAGCTGTTCAACAGGGGCAGGACTTTTTTTCAGCCGGAACTCATCTGAACTCAGTACCAGTACCTCTCAGGTGGGCACCATTGCCATTATAAGAGAACAAGGGAGGCATTCATAGTGAGTTCCGGCACCTCTTTTTGTAGAAAAATAGCACTGGTGAAAATGCTTACACTGAGGTAAAGAGTGCATAAAAATGCTTATCTTGGGGAAAATAATATACCAAAAGTGCATTGGAGAAAATTGCTTTGCGAAAAATTCAAATATTGGGGGAAATTGCATACAATCACGTGTATATTAGGAGACATTCGCTCATTTTTCATGATTTGATTTTTTAAAAATGTAAACTGATGTGTAAATGTGGAGAACTGAACTTTAGATTGGGAGGAAAAAATGAGGAACTGGAAGAAATAAAAATTGCCTGATGCATGCATGCCTAGCACCAGAAGCTGTGAAATCTTCTGAACACCTCAGGTTAAGTACTTAATTCGTTCCGGAGGTCTGTTCTTAACGTGAAACTGTTCTTAACCTGAAGCACCACTTTAGCTAATGGGGCCTCCTGCTGCTGCTGTGCTGCTGGAGCACGATTTCTGTTCTCATCCTGAAGCAAAGTTCTTAACCTGAAGCACTATTTCTGGGTTAGTGGAGTGTGTAACCTGAAACATATGTAACCCGAGGTACCACTGTAGCTGGAAAAAGAAGGTGGAGTGGGATGCTTTTGGGGCTTGGATCCTGCTCACTGGTTTCCCCCAGGCATCTGTTAGGCCACTGTGAGACAAGATGCTGGACTAGGTGGGTCACTGGGAGGCTCTTCTTACGCAATGAAAAACCCACTGCCAAGGGGTTCTGTGTTCCAGTTCTCCTCCAGTTGACAAAGTAGCATGCGGACAGTCCTGACCTCCACATTTCCTAATCCATTTATGACTGTGTGTCGATCTGAACCCTGATTAACCCCCAAAAAATGGCACATCTAAAAACCGCGGGCCTCGTTGGCTCCAACTCTGCTCTTTATATGTGTGTGTTCAGGATATTTTTTTAAAAAAAGAAGGATGACTGAGTAAGGGATTATTTGGAAGCTGGAAGCTGCACATTGAATTTCTGGCAACCCTCATCCTTGTTCTCGCTGTAGTTCCTAATTGACTGAATGAAGCCTTTTCAACAAAGGTGTGAATGTCAGTCCCTCAGTGGCTCGGCTGTGGCCTACAAACAGCCCATTGCTAAGCAACACTTGGCAACATCCGCACTGGGGGCTGAATAGCTTCCCCCGCCGATGCGGAGCAGAAGCCTTTGCCGATCTCCCTCCCTGGCACTGGTGGGCTTGAAAACCATCACAGGAACTGTGTTGATTGAACTGTCAGGTGGTAAATGATTGACACAAAGCACAAGTGCTTCTTCTGTTAACGCTCTGGCATGCTGTCGTTGGACTACTTCCTGGGAAATGCCATCCAATTACGCCAGATGTACCACCGAGAGAAATGCCAACCTGTTTTGCGGGGTGCAGGGAAAGAACTAGCGTCGCTCTTTGGTGCCTATTGAGATATGTAGCGGCTACGTCCAGCGTTCTGTGCATCCAGAGAGAATGGGTGGAGAGGGTTGTGTTGCTTACATGCCAATTGCTGTCATCCGTCTGTCTCGAAGAACAATGGAGTGTGCCTCTGGAGGTGAAGTCAAACAACTGCATTAGCAGCACCGGAGTGATCTCTCTGGGGTCCAAGCCTGGTGTTAGGTGTGTGTGCAGGAGCCAGGCCCTGTGACCAATAGGAAGACTGGGGCCTTCCTACGTTTGTTCTGAAGAGGCACACAGGTGAGGCCGATTGGTAACTCACAGCACCTGGTGGCAAGAGCCGGGAAGGGATATAAGGTCAGCATTTCCCTTCCCTTCAGCTCTTTGCCACAGCAACATGCTTCCTGCCCTGCTGTGTTTGGCTTCTTGCTTCCTGATTCTTGATTCTCGGACCCTTGACTCCTTGCTGCTTGATCCTTGGACCCCTCACTTCGTGACTCCTTGCTTCCTGACCCTCGGACCCTTGGCTTCCTGACTCCTGGCTTCTGGACCCCCGTTCCTGCTCCCACCCCGCCATCTTGCCCCCAGTCCTGACGTCCCCTGCCAGGACTTCGATCGCCCGTGAACCGGACCGTGACACCTGGGCAGTGTGTGTGGAGGTCCTGGACTGCCCAGATGACAAGACCCCCCTCTCAGCCTCTCTGATGTGGTCCAAAAGAGAGCAGAACAATTTGCTTGGCACCATCTTGACTGCAGGAGATGCCGGAAGGAGGCGTACAAGGCGCCACCCAACCATCTTAGAGACTCCATTCCAGATGTGTGTATAGTTTACTCCTTAGCCCTTTCTTCTCCTGAATATGTCCCACAAGGCAGTAGAGGTTCAGGATCAGAGTTGTCCTTCTCCTAGATAGGCCACCTTCCCCAGGTGGATGAGCCTCACCTGCCCCTCAATTCCCTCTAGAGCAGCCTTTCTCAACCTGTGGGTCCCCAGACGTTGAACTACAACTCCCATCATCCCTAGCTAGCAAGGTCAGAGCTCAGGGATGATGGGAGTTGTAGTCCAACAACATCTGGGGACCCACATGTTGAGAACCGCTGCTCTAGAGCATGTGCAAAAGTTACCTTCTGGACCACTAGACCCACTATTGCTCTTGTCCACTCAAGCCTGCCTTTGCATGCAACTCATCAAGCTTTTGAGACCTATCAGCTCCCCTCACCTGGTTTAACCAACCAGTCAAAGCCATTCCTGGGATTGTGCCCACTGTTGCATGCTGATAGCTCCTAGGAGCCACAGGTGAGATCTGTGTGCATGGTGGGGACCAAAGGTGGACAAACCACCCCAGAGGTAGCATAACATGTCCCCCATCAGAGGTACATGACCCTCTCCTAGTTCTCCATTCACCCCATATGCTAATAGTTGAGTTGGTTAGTTCTCAGTAATCTGGGTGTGCAAACAGCTTTTCAGATTCAATTGGTATTTATAGGCTAAGTACCAGCCCAGGGCTTCTCAGGGACTGCAGGCAACTGCCAGATAAAGAGTCAGGTCCCAGGTCCATCCAGCTCTGACTGGCAGCTGCTCTCCAGAATTTCAGTAAGGCCCCTCTCCTAGCCCTACTAGGGATTAAACCTGGGACCTCCTGTAAGCATGTCTATATAAGAACATAAGAACCCCACTGGATCAGGCCCAATACCTCCATCCTGCTCTCACAGTGGCCTGGGTACGTGGGTGGCGCTGTGGTCTAAACCACTGAGCCTCTTGGGCTTGCCTATCAGAAGGTTGGCAGTTCGAATCCCCGTGATGGAGTGAGCTCCCATTGCCCTGTCCCAGCTTCTGCCAACTTAGCAGTTTGAAAGCACGCCAGTGCAAGTAGATAAATAGGTACCACTGCGGCGGGAAGGTAAACGGTGTTTTCTTGCACTCTGGTTTCCATTGCACCAGAAGCGGTTTTGTCATGCTGGCCGCATGACCTGGAAAGCTGTCTGTGGACAAACGCTGGCTCCCTCGGCCTGAAAGTGAGATGAGTGCCGCAACCCCATAGTCATCTTTGTGGCCAAGTAGACAGCCTTGGAAAGCCCAGGACCTGAGCGAGTGCAACAGAACTCTTCCTCATGAGATTCCCTAAAACTGGTACTCAGAGGTACGTTGCCTCTGACAGTGGAGGTAGAAGATAACCACAATGCATAGTAACCCCAGATATTGTTGTCCTCCATGAATTTGTCATTGACATTCATAGATGCAACAGTCCAGGAAGTTGGCTTACACTGAGTCAGGCTCTTTGTCCATCTAATTTTTATTTTATTTTTTTACTTTTTGCAGCAGTTCTCTGGGATTTCAGACCCAAATCCCTTCCCAGCCCTCCCTGAAGATGGCACCCTCCCCCTCCTCTTCTGCTGAGGAAATCTCTGTTATCACAAGTAGAGAGAGATACAGGAAACTAGAGGTGCACCCATGTTGGACGAAGCGTGAATTCTGAGTCTAAGCCACCCACTCTGGGGATATTTGGGCAGCTTCCCAAACAAAGCAGGCTGGCTCTAAAAGCATTGGAGCTGCCTCTCAGCTTCTGAGGGAGCAGTAGCAGACTTTGGGACCTCAAATTTCAGCAGTGTCATGCTAAAATTCAGTGTCTCCTGCCTCTTGCACTCCGCTCTACAGCATTTTGTGGTCACCCCCTGCAGTATGGAGCCCAGTGCATTCCCACTGGCCGCACTACCTTAAAGGCACCTACGGAGAGCAGCCTTTTTAAAACTGTTGTTACACCCAGTTTGATACACTTTTGGACCTCCCAGAAGCTCCACAAGCTCTCCAGAAATGGAGAATATCTGGGAGGGAAATGTAGCTCTGTTGCTAACGATTGCAGCATCCAATCAGGGAATAACTTTCTCACAAACTCCCTAAGCGGCACCAATAACCTTTCCTGCTCTCAGCCTCAGTCTTTCATCTGTATTATGGGCATAATAATGCTGACCAACCTTGCAATAGCGTTTCAAGAATCGCGACAGGATTATTTTGGCATTCATTTGAAAGATTTATTCAAAGCACTTATTCAAAGAGCTCTTAGCAGTGCACAGATAGAACTGCAGATAAGGCACTGCTAAAATCAAAATTTGAAACCATTCAGAAAACACGCATATAACACCGGTCCTGAGAGATCTGCACTGGCTCCCAGTACGTTTCCAAGCACAATTCAAAGTGTTGCTGCTGACCTTAAAAGCCCTAGACAGCCTCGGTCCTGTATACCTGAAGGAGCATCTCCACCCACATCATTCAACCCGGACACTGAGGTCCAGCGCCGAGGGCCTTCTGGCGGTTCCCTTGCTGCGAGAAGCCAAGTTACAGGGAACCAGGCAGAGGACCTTCTCGGTAGTGGCACCCACCCTGTGGAACGTCCTCCCATCAGATGTCAAGAAAATAAGCAACTATCCTATTTTCAAAAGACATCTGAAGGCCTGTTGTCTTTGTCCATGGAGTTTTCTTGGCAGGGATACTGGAGTGGCTTGCCGGTTCCTCCTCCAGGTGGATCACGTTTGGTCAAAACTCTCCACTATGACCTGTTCATCTTGGGTGCCAGGCTCGGCATAGTTCATAGCTTCTCTGAGTTATTCAAGCCCCTTCACCATAGCAAGGCAGTGATTCATGAAGGGGTCCGTATAGTAAAAGCTATGGTTTTCCCAGTAGTGAAGTATGGAAGTGAGAGCTGGACCATAAAGAAGGCTGATCGCCGAAGAATTGATGCTTTTGAATTATGGTGCTGGAGGAGACTCTGGAGAGTCCCATGGACTGCAAGAAGATCAAACCGATCCATTCTGAAGGAAATCAGCCCTGAGTGCTCACTGGAAGAACAGATCGTGAAGTTGAGGCTCCAATACTTTGGTCACCTCATGAGAAGAGAAAAGACCCTGATGTTGGGAAAGATGGAGGGCACAAGGAGAAGGGGACGACAGAGGATGAGATGGTTGGATGGTATTCTCGAAGCTACCAGCATGAGTCTGTCCAAACTGCAGGAGGCAGTGGAGGACAGAAGTGCCTGGCGTGCTCTGGTCCATGGGGTCACGAAGAGTCAGACACGACTAAACGACTAAACAACAACAACAACAATCTGAAGGCAGCCCTGTTTAGGGAAGTTTTTAATATTTAAGGCTGTATTGTTTTTAATACTCGATTGGGAGCCGCCCAGAGTGGCTGGGGAAACTCAGTCAGATGGGCGGGGTATAAATAATAAATTATTATTATTATTATTATTATTATTATTATTCCATCATTATTAAAATACAGTTAAAACCAGTATGTGAACAGTCTGTAGCTGTATTACTGTACATGTTACTGAACTGCTTTGTGGTTATTGTTCACCAGCTGCCCTAAATTATTGTAATTGTAATTATTTATTGCATTCATCCGAGGAGCTGAAGGCGGTGTACACCATTCTCGTCCTTCCCATTTCATCCCCACAACAACCCTGTGAGGTAGATTAGGCTGAGAGTGAGTGATTGGCCCAGATCGCCCAGCTAGCTTCATGACTGAGTGGGATTCAAACCCTGGTCTCCCAAGTCCTAGTTCAACACTCTAACCACCACACCACACTGGATCTCTTAATGTGCAGTGACACAGACCACCACCCCTTCCATCCTTGTGTGGGATTCAGATGCAGACATGATACAGAGGAACAGACTCGTAACTCCAGCGACAGCTTTCTTCTACAAAATTCTGTTCTCTCTTCTCCTCCCCTGGTTTCATCAGCGAGCAAGAGTCCAATTTTAACTGACCTAGTAGTGATAGAGAGATCTGTTGCTTTATCTCTTACATGGCATGCAAGGGGGGGGGGGAAATTAAAACTCATTCCACTCAATCTAATCAGCACGAATGAATAAATGCTTTCTAATCAGGCACCTTTAACCACTATCTCTGACATCTGGGTCCAGCAGCAAGCCATAAGAACTGCCTGAAATAGGAGATTTATTTCCATATCCTGTGCAGAACAAACTCGGTGCTTTTGTTCCTGTTGGCAGACAAAAGAACCATCGTGACCACTCGGCTCGCCTTTTCTCCCCTTCAGCCCCCAACAGAGCCAAAAAGCAGCCTTTGGGGATTCAGCTTTGCTACTGCTGGTGGAATAAAGATAATTTCAGCAAGGAAGCAGCAGATAGCTCAGCACTGTAACTCAGCGGTACAGCATCTGCTTTGCATGCAGACGGCCCTGGGTTCAAATCCCGACGTCTCCAGGCAGAGCTGGGAGAAAGCAACCAAGGTTTCCCAAAGGCATGTTTGCTGATTGTTCAAACACTCCTATCTTTCTCTCTTTGTGCTTCTGCTACCCACGGGGAAGGACAAATGGTTTTGCAGAACCCCAAAGGCCAGTCTTCCTCCACTCTCTAAAATTTCACTAGGCCTTGCCCATTTGCCGCTAATGCAATTTATCAATGCAATCATAACGTCTAACTTTAAAAACAGCTGAGCTGGTTAGAGCTTGGTGTTGATAACGTCAAGGTTGCAGGTTTGACAGCTGCAAATTCCTCCATTGCAGAGGGCCAGATTAGATGGTCCATTCCAACTCTACGATTCTATGATTCGAGGCTTTGATCCTGAAAGTGCTGAATTCTGCACCAGAGAACAAAGCATACCTGAAGGAGCGTCTCCACCCCCATCGTTCAGCCTGGACACTGAGGTCCAGCTCCAAGGGCCTTCTGGCAGTTCCCTCACTGCGAGAAGTGAAGTTACAGGGAAGCAGGCAGAGGGCCTTCTAGGTGATAATAATAATAATAATAATAATAATAATAATAATAATAATAATAATTTATTATTTATACCCCACCCATCTGGCTGGGCTTCCCCAGCCACTCTGGGCGGCTTCCAACCAAATATTAAAATACAGTAATACATCAAACATTAAAAGCTTCCCTAAACAGGGCTGCCTTCAGATGTCTTCTAAAAGTTTGGTAGTTGTTCTCTTTGACATCGGGTGGGAGGGCGTTCCACAGGGTGGATGCCACTACCGAAAAGGCCCTCTGCCTGGTTCCCTGTAACCTTGCTTCTCGCAGTGAGGGAACTGCCAGAAGGCCCTCAGCTCTGGATCTCAGCATCTGGGCTGAACGATGGGGGTGGAGATGCTCCTTCAGATATACTGGGACGAGGCCATTTAGGGCTTTAAAGGTCAGCACCAACATTTTGAATTGTGCTCGGAAACATACTGGGAGCCAATGTAGGTCTTTCAAGACCGGTGTTATGTGGTCTTGGTGGCCGCTCCCAGTCACCAGTCTAGCTGCCACATTCTGGATTAATTGTAGTTTCTGGGTCATCTCCAAGGTAGCCCCACGCAGAGCGCACTGCAGTAGTCCAAGTGGGAGATAACCAGAGCATGCACTACTCTGGTGAGGCAGTCTGCAGGCAGGTAGGGTCTCAGCCTGCGTACCAGATGGAGCTGGTAAACAGCTGCCCTGGACACAGAATTGACCTGCGCCTCCATGGACAGCTGTGAGTCCAAAATGATTCCCAGGCTGCGCACCTGGTCCTTCAGGGGCACAGTTACCCCATTCAGGATCAGGGAGTCCGCCACACCCACCCGCCTCCTGTCTCCCAAAAACAGTACTTCTGTCTTGTCAGGATTCAACCTCAGTCTGTTAGCCACCATCCATCCATCCATCCATCCTAGTGGTGCCCGCCCTGTGGAACGCCTTCCCATCAGATGTCAAGGAAATAAGCAACTATCTGACTTTTAGAAGACATCTGAAGGCAGCCCTGTTTAGGGAAGTTTTTAATGTTTGATGTTTTGTTGTGCTTTTAATTCTGTTGGGAGCTGCCCGGAGTGGCTGGGGAAACCCAGCCAGATGGGCGTTGTATAAATAATAAATTATTATTATTGTTGTTGTTGTCGTCATCACCATCATCATTGTATTGGAGAGATGGAAGTGACCACAATGAGCCATCTAGGAATCTTTTGCCCAGTGTGGGGCTCGAATTCACCACCCTGAGATCAAGAGTCTCATGCTCGAACCACTGAGCTATCCAAGATTAGAAGGATGCCGGCACAATAACACGAAGAGAACCCCTATGTTATTTTTTTTCTTCATGTAGATAACAATGCACGTGAATAAAATTCCAGCAGTCCTGGAAACTTCAGGGTTTTATTGAAGGCCCAACTTTAATTCAGTCCTTTCTCCAGCACCAACTTTTTTTTTTCCATCCCATTATGTCAAGAAATGTATTATCCCTCCATTTGTGTCTGTCAGAACTATTCCCGCCGGGCCCATAGACTACAGACTCCTGTACTTGAAATTTCCCGAGTACATCTCTCTATCAAGAGTTGCAGTTTTCAGCGAGCGTCTCTGGTGACTTTTGACAATGTTTTACAGAGAACCAGAGCAGGAAGCTGAGGAGTTGAAGGAATTCTTCCGTCCCATCGATGAATATGTAATAGGCCTTTTTTCCCCCCGCCGTTCAGCATTCCAAAAAACCCGTAAGGTTCATTAAGTCTCTCAAAGACAGGAGCTGGGATGTCGCTTCTGAATGAAGCCGTCTTTGGGACGGTGCTGGCAAATGACACGTTGAGGTAGAAAATATTAATATCCCGCATTAAGGAATAAATTTGTTTAAATGCCCCTCGCGTGGGAGGGCGGGGAGACAACCGTGAATCGTCTCCTAACTTTATATGTAAATTGTCTTTTGCTTATATGCATAAGAATGCTCTTTTGCTATTCAATTCCTCCGTATTAGCGAGCAGGAGTGTAACTAATATATAAAATAAAGTCATTCTCTTTAATGAGAATGCTAAATATTTTAAGGAAATACACGGCTGTGAAATATTGTCAAGGGCATTTTTATACTTAAGTTTAAGAACACTTATGACTTAACCGCTGAATTATTTAGCACACTCAGCCTTGAAGTTCTATTTATGTACGGGGTTTAATGTTCATATGCTTTTTGGTGGCTTTCCCCGTGCTAAGGATTTAGGACCTTTGATTTTCTGTTTATAAAATTTACATTTTTAATCTCTTATTTCTGTGCATTTGCCTCCGTTCGCTCCTACGGGGCAAAATATAGTGCAGGGAAGAAGACTGGGGAAGGAAGATCTCTCTTTTTTTCTGAGAAGAGGAAAAGGAAATAAAAAAGGCTGGCGTCTGAAACTGGAAAAAGAAAAGGGTTTTTAAATAGGCCTTGGGACAGATTTTAAGGAACGAACAGGGAGGAGGGAGATGAAGCCCTGTAAACACAAACAACCTCTATGGCTTGAAATCAAGGCGATTGCATCATAAGTTTATGAGGATGTTCTCAGGGAGAGCAGGTGTAATAGGGTAAATAAATGTCTTTAAGATACATTGATTCCGCCCCAATACAACCACATGGAGATGTTGAAATGCAAGTAAAGGGGTAAAGGGACCCCTGACCATTAGGTCCAGTCGTGACCGACTCTGGGGTTGCGGCGCTCATCTCGCTTTATTGGCCCAGGGAGCCGGCGTACAGCTTCTGGGTCATGTGGTCAGCATAACTAAGCCGCTTCTGGCAAACCAGAGCAGCACACAGAAACGCTGTTTACCTTCCTGCCAGAACGGTACCTATTTATCTACTTGCACTTTGACGTGCTTTCGAACTGCTAGGTTGGCAGGAGTAGGGACTGAGCAACGGGAGCTCCCCCCGTTGCGGGGATTTGAACCGCGGACCTTCTGATCGGCAAGTCCTAGGCTCTGTGGTTTAACCCACAGCGCCACCCGCGTCCCCGGTTGAAATGCAAAGGCCACCCCAAATGGGAACATCATTCATCAATGGGTTGCACCCTGGCTCTTGCCTTTGATTCCGATTTATTTATTTAATGATTAATAATAATAATTTATTTATACCCCACCCATCTGGCTGGGTTTCCCCAGCCACTCCTGGCATCTTCCAACAGAACACTAAAATACAATAACCTATTAAACATTAAAAGCTTCCCTAAACAGAGCTGCCTTCAGATGTCTTCTAAAAGCCTGGTAGTTGTTGTTCTCTTTGACATCTGGTGGGAGGGTGTTCCACAGGGCAGGTGCCACTACCAAGAAGGCCCTCTGCCTGGTTCCCTGTAACTTGGCTTCTCGCAGCGAGGGAACTGCCAGAAGACCCTCGGCACTGGACCTCAGTGTCCAGGCAGAATGATGGAAGTGAAGACTAAAACATTATATGCTCTAACATCGTTTTAATAACTGTCTGTGCATTGTATGATCATTTGAACCCATTTTTTACACCTGCGGCCAGGTAGCTACCCGGGTAGGCACCTATCTAGCCACAAGGTGCTTTCAGCTAGGGCCCTTTGGGGGTCTATGCTATAAGAACCCACAACCGTGTAGGATCCTTGTGGCGTGTTTGGATCGCCATCTCTTTAACCCAACTGCTATTGCACTTCCCGCCACCTCAATCCACAATCATGAATGCCATTATTTATTACATATTCCCAGTATAGGAGCTACTGTAATCCCAAGCAATAAACCCAAGCATGTCTGAATATATACATTCATATCTGTTCAAAATGCACTTGGGGTCAACAACCGAAAAGCGGGTAGGGGGAAGGGATTAAACTGCTCAAAGCCAACCTTGCCCTCTTTGTTACTGTTGTTTTCTATTGCAACAATACTTCATGACACAAGGCAGAGGTAACCTGACATCCCTCAAATGCTGAGCAGTGGTGGAGCTCTCAAAAACCCTCGCCGGTGTTTCCCGTCAGTGCAGCTTTACATCCATAAAAAGAATAATGAAAAATAGATGGCTTGGGCTCAAGAAAGTTGTCTGGATCTGATTGCTGGGGAAGTTAATATAGTAAATCCAGACTGGAGCAAGACCAAAAAGACCCTCAATCAAGGACCAAGAGGAGAGAAAGAAATATCCCTTTTCAATGGAAGAGATACAGCCCAATCTTTAAAAAAATGGTAAGTTCTGCTTCTCAGCCTAGAGCCCCATGAAAGACACAAATGCTAGGGCTGTTCTGAACTTCCAATCCTGCTCAATTTCTCCACAGTTTCAGGGGATCTCTTGAGGGGATCAAGCCCCCTCCAAAAATTAGGATGGGGACTGGGCATTTGGGTGAAGGTGATAAATGCATATACAGTCATACCTCATGTTACGTTTGCTTCAGGTCAAGCGTTTTCAGGTTGCGTCCCGCAGCGACCCAGAAGTACCGGAAAGGGTTGCTTTCAGGTTTCGCCACTCGTGCATGCACAGACGCGCAAAATGATGTCACGTGCATGTGCAGAAGCAGCGAATCGCGACCTGCGCACACGCAGACGCGGATTGCGTTCCTTTCAGGATGCGAACGGGCCTCCAAAATGGATCCCATTCGCAACTAGATGTACCACTGTACAGGTGGTGGATAATCCCATGATTTGTCCTCCTCCTCCCTCTTTTTCAATTCTTCCTCCCAACTGATACCTTTTTTTGTTAAAGGTTAAAAGTTATTGCAAATGCACCGAAAACTCAGCACTCACCCCAAACTTTCAAAAGGGACTGGTCTGTTCCTGGGGAGGGAACTGCATGATAGGCTAGTGTTGCATGCAAAAAAACAAAATGTCTGGAATCCTTCTGAGGCTTATTTCCAGTGGAGGTTGAGGACCTCTGGGCAGGTGTGGGGAATGCATGGCCCTTCGAACCATGGCAGACCTACATTTTTGGGTCCCTGAAGTTTGAACTGTCACGGGGGTCCCTTTCGAACCAGCAACAAGGGTAACCACTGTTACCTTTTTCAATGGGGTTGTTTCATGACAGGTCACCACGCCTTTACAAGATCTGTGCTACTGACTCTCAAACTTTTGGATTGTTGAAATGCATGCAACCAAAAAGTACTGTATTTTTCGCCCTATAGGACGCACTTTTTCCCCTCCAAAAATGAAGGGGAAATCTGTGTGTGTCCTATGGGGTGAATGCAGGCTTTCGCTGAAGCTTGGAGAGTGAGAGGGGTCGGTGAGCACCGACCCCTCTCGCTCTCCAGGCTTCAGGAAGCTATCAGCAAGCCTGGGGAGCCCGCGGGAGTTCCCACAGGGCTCCCTAGGCTGCGGATAGCAGCCTGCTGCCTGGAGCGTGGGGCGCGCTGAAGCCGCGGCGGGGGGGGGGGATAATTTTTTTTCTTTATTCCCCCCCCCGCCAAAAAAAACCTGGGTGCGTCCTATGGGCCGGTGCGTCCTATAGGGCGAAAAATACGGTAATCAATTTGAGTCATGAGACTCAAACTGGGTCTTCTTGACCCAAACATTTTAAGCAATGTGGAAGAAGTTGCTTCTGGGGGCCCCTTGTGAAATTAGGGACCCTGAAGATTAAGCTTCATTAGTTTTATGGAATATCTGCCATTGCCTCTAGATGTTGAACTCCCAACTCCCATCAGCCCCAGCTAACATGGCCATGGGGCAGGGATGTTGCGAGTTGCAATATCTGGAAGGCCAAAGAGTAGCTGTTCCTATACACTGAAACGTTTTGAGTTGAAAATATTGCAGTTTAGAACAAGCCATCTGGAGAAGGGTCAGAGCTCATTGGTAGGTCCTCTGCTTTGCATCCAAAAGCTCTCTGGGTTCCATCTTGGCATTGTCAGATAAGGCTACCTGAAAACCCAGAGAGCCACCACTTTCCAATGTAGACAAGACTGAGCGAAATGGACCAATTGCCTGACTCAGTTTAAGGCAGCATCTTATGTTCCTAATGCATGGTGGTACTTGCTAAGCCAAGCTTCAACCAGTATGTTGTGGAGGTTTTGATTCTGTTGGTGTGCAAGAAAAGCAGAGCATGTTGAATCAGCCCCCTGAGAATGTCAGAGATATATAGATATATAGATATAGATATAGATGATATAGATATAGATATAGATGATATAGATATAGATATAGATGATAGATGATAGATGAGATAGATAGATAGATAGATAGATAGATAGATAGATAGATGATAGATAGATAGATAGATAGATAGATAGATAGATAGATAGATAGATGATAGATAGATAGATGATAGAGAGATAGAGATAGAGATAGAGATAGAGATAGAGATAGAGATAGAGAGATAGAGAGATGATAGATAGATAGATAGATGATAGATAGATGATAGATAGATAGATGATAGATAGATAGATAGATAGATAGATAGATAGATAGATAGATGATAGATAGATAGATAGATAGATAGATAGATAGATAGATAGATAGATAGATGATAGGTAGGTAGGTAGGTAGATAGATAGATGATAGGTAGGTAGATATATTGTTAAACATTCTCGCTCTCATGTCTGCTTGAAAGTGTTTCAAGGATTTCCAGGGGTTGGGACAGGATTCCAGAGTCCTATATAGCTTCATGTCATTCACTATAATTAGAAAAAAAGAGAGAATTATGCAAAACAGGAAAAATACATAGTTTCATGCAAAACTGGGGAAAAACATAGGAAAAATACAATTCTTTTCATGCAATTGAAAAATATGCATATTTTCTACATTTGCCTCATTTATGCAAGTTGCAAAGAATGCAGTTTTTTTTGTGCTGCAGAATTTGCACTGTCCAGGTGCAGGATATTATTATTTTAGCAGGGTGTACACAAAGCCCAGGCTGCAGCCAACCTCATTTCACCTAGGTGATATTATTCAACCTAGTTAAGGGAAAGTATTTATGATGAACGCTGGTGTTCAGTCATTGACTTCATCAGGGAGCCAACTTGCTTAATTCCAATTTCCTGCACTGGGTTAAGGATGTTGGCCTGTTAGATGAGAAAAGTTGGATTAGATGCTTCTTCCTCCAGAGAATTAGGGTTAAGCGCAGAAACCACCAGTCTGCTTAGGGTTTCTTCCCAGTGTTTGCCAAGCTGAGGATTCTGCAGTAGAGGTCACCGAAAGGTTAAGCAAAGGGGTAATTCAGTGGAATAGTTTTATGCTCAGGAGAGAAAGGATTCCCAAGAAGTAATCTTGGGGGACCACTCCGGTAGAGTCTCTCGCCAGCGACCTTGACGGAAACAGAAGGTGTAGAAAATCAACCATGTCAAATGAGAGCGAGAACTTTTCCCAGGGGACACGCCGAGCTCTAATCTTGCAAAGCACATCTCAGAGGATCAAACCCTCGTTGACTACATATTGCTCAGCTGGGATTAGCCCACAATTACGTCCCAACGAAGGATGTTTGTCTTCCTGTCCACAAGGGCATTCCTGTGCGTTGCGGGAAGCCACAGAATAATACAAGACGCGGTGAACGGTGGAGATGATTGAGACAAGATACACAGCCATCAAATGTTGTGTAAAAGAACAACTGCTGTTGCAAAAAGAGTGCAGCCTAGACAGACCAATAGGCTGAAAGCTACTCCAATGCTGAAGGTCTGGTGAGTTTCGCACTTGTGTGACCCAAGCACCCACTTCGACTCATGCCCGACTACTGGATAAAACAGACTAGACAATATTGTTTTGGGTCAAATCAGGCCAAAATAAAATAATAATAATAATAATAATAATAATAATAATAATAATAATTTATTGATACCCCGCCCATCTGACTGGGCTTCCCCAGCCACTCTGGGCAGCTTCCAAAAAAATATTAAAATACCGTAATACATCAAGCATTAAAAGCTTTAAAACATTAAAACATACATCAAACATTAAAAGCATTAAAAACAGATTACAGGCGTAGAACAGTGTGAGCGGGTGGAAACTGGCCCAATTTAAACATCCAAGAGGTGGACCGGAGTGAAGACTCCAGGCTCAGTGCAGTCCACCCCAGGGGGTGGAGCCAGCCAAGCAGCCTGCCCACGATTGGCCAATTTGTGGGCAGGCTGCAACCTACTTCCCCAGACCATTTTGGTCTCATGCCGGCCAGGGAAGAAACCCAGAGACACAGCCCCTCTCCAGATCATGTCAGAATAGGGGGCACCATCCTACAATGCTGCCTAACCAATTAAGGTAAAAGGACTTTTCAATGTGACCCAAGTCTTTAGAGTTGCAGCAGTGTTGTGGAACTGGGTGAGTGACCAAACACCAAGCACCTTGGCAAATGTTGAAAACAGAGCAGGGATATATGCCAGGATGAGGTGAGGATGTGTGTATACAAAGTTATGCAAGCTTTTGAAGGCCACTCTTGACCCTCCTAGGGACGCGGGTGGCGCTGTGGGTTAAACCACAGAGCCTAGGACTTGCCAATCAGAAGGTCGGTGGTTCAAATCCCCGCGACGGGGTGAGCTCCCGTTGCTCGGTCCCTGCTCCTGTCAACCTAGCAGTTCGAAAGCACGTCAAAGTGGAAGTAGATAAATACTTCCAGAGGGAAGATAAATGGCGTTTCTGTGCGCTGCTCTGATTCGCCAGAAGCGGCTTAGTCATGCTGGCCACATGACCCGGAAGCTGTACGCCAGCTCCCTCGGCCAGTAAAGCGAGATGAGCGCCACAACCCCAGAGTTGGCCATGACTGGACCTAATGGTCAGGGGTCCCTTTGCCTTTACCTTTACTTGACCCTCCTAGAGGACAGTAGGTAGCCACGTTGGTCTGACGCAGTCGAAATAAATTTAAAAATTTAAAAAAATTGTCCAGTAGCACCTTAGAGACCAGCTAAGTTTGTTCTGGGTATAAGTTTTCGTGTGCAGGCACACTGAAGTATCTGAAGAAGGTATCTGAAGAAGTGTGCATGCACACGAAAGCTTATACCCAGAACAAACTTAGTTGGTCTCTAAGGTGCTACTGGACAATTTTTAATTTTTTTTTATTTATTCCTCCTAGAGGAGTTTTCTTTACAGGAAAACCAGAAGCGTATGTTCCCTTCAGATTGCTAACTGACCAAAATAAAATAGCAAGCATAGATTGGAGGCAAGGGGGCGAGATTGAGGACCAAAAGAATCAACCACATCCTTGAAAACAGCCCTGGTGCACATTTCAAAGCATAGACGTACTTGCGTGTTATTTCTTCAGTCTTCCTTTTCCTCATACGTTTTTCCCCCTCTCCTTCAAGCATGGTTCTCGCAAAGCAGCATTTCCTGATTTATTTTATTTTATTTTCTCCCCCCAAATAATGTTTCCCGATAGGAAGTGGCCTTTTTCACGTCCAGAAGCAGCCCAGGCAATCTGTCAGTCTTCCCCTAAACCTCTCGCTAGACAAAGGCCGAGCGTAGCAAGCGCCACAATAATGTCGACACAGAAATATTACAAAGTAAAGGCTTATAAAATAATAAAAATTCTACTTAGTTCAGATACCTCCCAGTGCCTTTGGCAAAACACCTTAAGCATTCCACATAAGGCGGGCATTGTCTTCATAAGATGGCACCTCATAAAATGGTATTAAATATCACCGACGGGGGCTTCATATTTCATCCGGCAGGGTTTAGGCTAGACATGTTCTATATCACACATTATTAGAATGACATCTGCTTTGCAAGTCCTGTGCCCAGGAGCATACCTTGATAACTCATTTCAGCGCTCCTTCTCGGAGGGCTTCTGTGCCTTCATAATACCTAATATGTTTAACTCATTTTGAACAGAAGTCTAAAGCCTGTCCTGGCCCTCTGGCCACAACTGTAGCTGTCAGGCAAAGGAGTCAGCTATCAAACATTACTCATTTATCATTAGCAGGGATGCAGCTGTACAAAGGAATCCAGCCACCACTGTGAAGAGCTGTCAACTCGTCCCTGTACGATACTCGCCTCTCTCAATGGGGCGTTTTGCAGTGTGGAGGCAGGAACTGTTTCCCCACCACAGAGGTTTCTGCAGCGCTAAGGATATATGGGCAGCGTGCCTTTATTTCAGTGCTTTCGCAATGGGGCGCATCGCGTGGTGTCTTCATTTTCAGACCACATCTGCACTATGCCTTTGAGTCAGTGTATATAATAATACAGTGGATGCTAGGGTTGCGAATGTGATCCATGCAGGAAGCACGTTCGCAACCTGCAGCGTTCACAACCCACGTCTGCGCGTCTGTGCACGTGCGGGTTGTGATTTGGCACTTCTGCGCATGCTCAAAGCATGATTTAGTGCTTCTGCGCATACGTGACCGCCAAAACCCAGAAGTAACCCGTTCCGGTACTTCCGGGTTTCGGCGATCCGCAACCCGAAAAAATGCAACCTGAAGCTGTAACCCCAGCTATGACTGTAATAATGATGATGATGATGATGATGATGATGATGATGATTTATTATTTATACTCCGCCCATCTGGCTGGGTTTCCCCAGCCACTCTGGGCGGCTCCCAACAGAATATTAAAAACACAATAAAATATCAAACATTAAAAACTTCCCTAAACAGGGAATGTCTTCTAAAAGTCAGATAGTTGTTTATTTCCTTGTCATCTGATGAGAGTGCATTCCACAGGGCAGGCGCCACCACCGAGAAGGCCCTCTGCCTGGTTCCCTGTAACCTCGCAGTGATGGACCCGCCAGAAGGCGCTTGGAGCTGGACCTCAGTGTCCGGGCAGAACGATGGGGGTGGAGACGCTCCTTCAGGTATACGATATCACAGAATCGTAGAGTTGGAAGGGACCCTGAGGATCATCTAGTCCAACCCCCTGCAATGCAGGAATATGCAGCTGTTCCAGATGGCGATTGAACCTGCAACTTTGGTGTTACTGCTTTAAACAGCCATGGCCTCCTGCAATGCATCCTGGGAACTGTAGTTTGTTTGGGGTGCTGAGCATTGTTAGAAAAAGAAAACCTATTCCCCTCACAGAACTACAGTTCCCAGAAGAAGAAGAAGAAGAAGAAGAAGAAGAAGAAGAAGAAGAAGAAGAGTTTGGATTTGATATCCCGCCTTTCACTCCCTTTAAGGAGTCTCAAAGCGGCTAACATTCTCCTTTCCCTTCCTCCCCACAACAAACACTCTGTGAGGTGAGTGGGGCTGAGAGACTTCAAGGAAGTGTGACTGGCCCAAGGTCACCCAGCAGCTGCATGTGGAGGAGCGGAGACGCGAACCCGGTTCCCCAGATTAGGAGACTACCGCTCTTAACCACTACACCACACTGGTGTAGTTTAGCAATCAAGAGTGGTTTAGCAATCAATACTCTGGGAACTGTAGCTCTGGGAGGGGAACAGGGTCATCCTCATGATTATCAGGACCCTTAACAAACTTCAGCTCCCATAATTATTTGGGGGAAGCCATGACCATTGAAAGTGATGCCATCATGCTTTCAATGTATGGTGTGTGTCTCCAGTTACTCTATAGCTATATCTATCAATAAACTTAAACAATAATCCTTACCAAAGACATCCATAACAGGCATCCAGTGAGAGTCATACTCTTGAGTAGACCCATTGAAATTAATGGGCATGGGTGAACTCAGGTCCATTAGCTTCAGTGGCTCTGCCCTGTGTGTTGGAATATAGATAGCTTTTAATTAAATTGGACTCGTCATCAATTTGATTTTAAAAGGGAAACTATCTATTGCCAGCTCTGCTGGACTCGGGTTGTAAACTGCATTGGAGAAAAAACATCTCAAAATAAATTAAGAAAGAAAATACGTTTAAGGAGCAACAATGACCTAACCAGGGTCTAGTTAATGCAAATGTCAGATTAAGGAAGGTTTTTTGGGCTCGTCAACACTTCTGCTTCCCCTGGGAAACTCACTATTTACCACTGTACAAACGGCACATGGTTTTTCTATGGATTGACAACGTTTGCTCTGAGTCAGCAATAAATATCAGGGTTCCTGGTGAAAGCAGTTGGACAAATGAAAAGCCATTGGCGCCCAGGCCTAGAAAGCACAGGCCGAGTTGAAGTGTGGCTGGACCCTTTGTTGTTATTTAGTGTCTAACAGAAAACTTGTTGTTGTTTAGTCGTGTCCGACTCTTCGTGACCCCGTGGACCAGAGCACACCAGGCACTCCTGTCTTCCACTGCCTCCCGCAGTTTGGTCAAACCCATGCTGGGAGCTTCAAGAACACTGTCCAACCATCTCGTCCTCTGTCGTCTCCTTCTCCTTGTGCCCTCCATCTTTCCCAACATCAGGGTCTTTTCCAGGGAGTCTTCTCATCTCATGAGGTGGCCAAAGTATTGGAGCCTCAGCTTCAGGATCTGTCCTTCCAGTGAGCACTCAGGGCTGATTTCCTTCAGAATGGATAGGTTTGATCTTCTTGCAGTCCATGGGACTCTCAAGAGTCTCCTCCAGCACCAGAATTCAAAAGCATCTATTCTTTGGCGATCAGCCTTCTTTATGGTCCAGCTCTCACTTTCATACATTACTACTGGGAAAACCATAGCTTTAACTATACGGTCCTTTGTTGGCAAGATGATGTCTCTGCTTTTTAAGATGCTGTCTAGGTTTGTCATTGCTTTTCTCCCAAACAGAAAACTTAGGTGAGACCAAATCATTGGCCCGGGATTTGGATACAAGTTTCCCAAGCTCAAAACCCAATGCTTTGTTCATATATATAGATACATAGATATATAGATATATAGATGTATGTCGCGGGTAACTCTGTGATCTAAACCACTGAACCTCTTGGGCTTGCCGATCAGAAGGTTGGCTGTTTGAATCTCCGTCACGGGGTGAGCTCCCATTGCTCGGTCCCAGCTCCTGCCAAACTAGCAGTTCGAAAGCACACCAGTGCAAGTAGATAAATAGGTACTGCTCCGGTGGGAAGGTAAATGGCATTTCCCTGTGCTCTGGTTTTGCCAGAAGCAGCTTAGTCATGCTGGCCACATGACCCAGAAAATCTGTCTCTGGATAAACGCCGGCATATTTTACTGATTTTACATATAATCACATTACATAACATCGTACCCTCTTGTTTTATCTCTTTGGCTCAACTGAGCCCAACGCCTTTCCTCCCTCCCATCTGATGGTTCACAAAATCAAACTTTACATCTTTACATTTCGCTTCGTTTCCTATCCTTGTTATATCACTACCTAAACTATTATATTACTCAACCTGAATAGGTAGCAATTTCATCTTAGAAATCTTCAGATAACCCTGCTAATGATGTTAATTGCTTACAGTTGCCTTTCAAATATAATATAAATTTGTTCCAGTCCTTTTGGAATACTTGGTATCGTTGGTTCCAAATTCTTCCCATCAGTTTGGCCAGTTCTGCAAAATCCATCATTTCCACTCTTCTTTTGTTGGTAACTCCTGTTGTTTCCATCTTTGGGCTAACAAAATTCTTGCCGCAGTTGTTGCATATAGAAACAGTGTTTTTTATCTCGTCTCGGTATCTCTCTACCCACTATACCTAATAAAAAAGCTTCTGGTTTTTTTTAACAAAAGTGTTTTTTAAACTCAATGCATTGTTCTGCCATATATGTGTAAAGTACAAACTTAAAAAAGGTGATGCCCACGTACATTTCAGGACAAAAAAAGATGCTGCAAACTCTTCTGCTAATCAAAGCAAAATTTAAGATTTCATTGCTAAAGCCTGAGGTTTGTACTTGGCAATCCCCCCCCCCCCCGCTTTTCTCAATCTTTTCAAAGCCTGATATGAGCTTATATGTTCAGGGTAGCTCAATTTTTGTTGATGTGCTTTAAAGATTTTTGGACGATGTGAACTTTCTATGGCATATATGTCACTTAAGTGAAAAGGACAAAATCAGTGATAGGGATTGAAAATAAAACTGTTGGCATCTTAACGTTGTCATACACAGCTGCAGTGCAACTGCATTTGGAATAATAATAATAATAATAATAATAATAATAATAATTAATAATACCCCGCCCATCTGGCTGGGTTTTCCCAGCCACTCCCCAGCTTCCAGCGCAAATAAAAACATAATAAAATGTCAAACATTAAAAACTTCCCAATACAGGGATGCCTTCAGATGTCTTCTGAAAGTTGTGTATATAGGATATTGTAGAGCTGGAAAAGCTGAAATGGTCGAAAGGATGGAGAAACTCTTATGAGAAGGAAGGTTGTGGTTCTTTAATTTAGGGGGAAAGTGAATAAGGGGTGACATCTTGGAAAGTTTTTAAATAAATTTTAAAAACCATGCATTGTGTGATGGCCTGGGACTCGGGCTCGGACTCGGACTCGGAGCCGGAGGAGTCTCAGTCTGCACCAGATGTGGGGATTACCTCGTTGCCTCCAGCTGGGCTATCACTTACAGCTGCTCCACTACCGGTTGGGTCAGGGGAGGCTGAGGCAGCCCCTGGGTCTAGTAACCCATCTACGTCTCCCGAGCTGCAGAGACCCAGGTATGAGAGAAGGAGAGACCTGAGTACTCGCAGGAGGAGTGCTCGCCTTCGGGAGAAACAGTGAGGTGAGTCGCTGGGGGATCAGGACCGGCCGTTACGCCGTCAGAGATAAAAGGCTGCCAGACCCCACCCTAGGTTGTGGGAGCAACATTGCTGCTTGCTGGAACCTGACTGTTACCCTGTGCCTGACCCAGCTGGTTTTCTGCCTTGGCCCTGTTGGACTGACTCCTCGTGGAATCCTTGCATCCAGGACTGGACCTGGACCGCGTGGCTCTGGTTAACCCCCGGGTCCAGCATACATTGGTTGGAGAAAATGACAGAGGAAAGTTTTCATCCCTCTCTGTAACACTGGACATTCAGAGACCCTGAATGTTGAAAGATTTGGGACAGATGAAATAATTTCATCATGCAGCACATAGTTAAACTATGGGGCTTGCTCCCCCAAGGGGCAGCAATGGCCATGAACTTGGAGGGCTTTAAAAGAGGATTAGACAAATTCCTGGAGGAGAAGGCTAATGATGTCTATCAGCCATGATGGCTGTGCTCTACTTCCACAGATCGAGGCAGCAATGCTTATAAATACCTGCTGCTGAAAAGCAGAGGACGGGAGAATGGTCTTGCGTTCAAATCCTGATTGCAGGTTTCCCACAGACATCTGATTGGCTGCTGTGAGAACAGGATGCCGGACTAGATGGGCCATTGGCCTGATCCAGCGCTCTTTTCTTATGTTCTTATGGTATTACGTGATCTATTTTTAAGAATCACACTAATAAAGTTGTGCATTGTTTCTGTCTGTAGTCTGAAGAAGTTCCCAATTCTGAAATGTAAAGAATTTTGTGTCCTAGAGCCCCAGAGCTTGCTTCCTCTTTTTATTTATGGAACAAAAATTATATACTTCTTAGGTGTAAATACACGGGTTACAGATGCTTCGGGTTGTGTGATTTCTGGTTGCACACCACGCCGAACCTGGAAGTACTGGAATGGGTTACTTTTGGGTTTTGGCGCTTGCGCATGCACAGAAGCACTAAATTGCACTTTGCACATGCGCAGAAGTGCCAAATCGCAACCCACACGTGCACAGATGCGGCGCTGCGGGTTACGGACGCTGTGGGTTGCGAACGTGCTTCCCGCACGGATCACGTTCCCAACCCGAGTGTCCACTGTAATGCCTTTAAACCAGGCATCCCCAACCTTCGGCCCTCCAGATGATTTGGACTACAATTCCCATCACCCCTGACCACTGGTCCTGTTAGCTAGGGATCATGGGAGTTGTAGGCCAAAACATCTGGAGGGGATGCCTGCTCTAAACAGTTGACAAGCTTTTTGCCCTGCTCTTTTAAGGGGCTGATCTCCCTCACTTCCAATTCTCCTGCGTATATTTCAAGCAATTGCTAACAAATGGTTTCTCCCAGGCAGCCAAATTGGTGTCAGGGTGATGGGGGGGTGGAGGGAGTGACCACCTGTACAATGTTTGACACATCTCAGAGGAAGGATGGGGCACAAATGTGATAGATAACCAACCAACAAATATAGCATGGGAAAACCGGTAGTCCACTTAAGAGCTCTCAAGTATGAATCTAAGATACTGTGCAGCCAATTTCAAAACAATGTAGTAACCACCTTTGATGTCCCTATTTGACCACTTTCTCTGTTCGTTCTGTTTCCTCTTAACCGCAGGGCCTTCCCTTTCTCGCTCTGCCCTGAAGTCTGCTCTTGGCCCATCTGTTTCCTCAGCCAGATGTTTCCCTCCATCACCAAACCTTCCCCAGTATCGTTGAGCCGCATAACTTCCACTTTTTTCAGCATGTCCCCTCAGGACCTCCTTACTAGACGGCTGGAGACCACTGTGAGAAAGTGGCGTCTCCTTGACAAATGGCTATTGCCTGTCACTGGTCAAAATATGTTCTGTCCCTAGCTGTTTCCTCCATGCACACACAAACACAAAACCCCTTTTTGTTGTTGCTGTATTTCCACCCCTTGGACATAACGTTTGAAGAGATCTGAGGAGGCCTGATAAGGGTCAAACGTTATAGTCCTTCTTCACATTTATTTATAGGCATATATACAGTCAACCACACCATAAAGTATCTCAACGGTGAACAGTCTTCTTTGGCGATCACTCGTAACCAAGTAAGATTGTCTTCCATAAACACGATTTTAACAGTGAGTCTGTAGGTGACTGTGGAGGCCAATTCTGGATCCACATGTCCTTCCACAGTAGGGACATAGGTTTCTGTGCAGGAATTGATCATGGTAAGGGTTTGCCAAGCGTGCCTTCCTCTTAGCCAATTTTTCCTTTCGTCCTGAGTTCGAGTGTCTTCAAAGTCCTTTGGTAAAGGCTGTTCTCCAACTAGAGCGCTCACAGGCCAGTGTTTCCCAGTTGTCAGTGTTTATACTAAAAAAAAATTTAGATTTGCCTGGAGTGAGTCTTTAAATCTCTTTTGTTGACCACCAGCATTATGTTTTCCATTTTAAAGTTCGGAATAGAGTAGTTCCTTTGGAAGACAATAATCAGGCATCTGCACAACATGACCAGTCCAACAAAGCTGATGTTGAAAAACCATTGCTTCGACACTGGTGATCTTTGCTTCTTCCAGTACATTGGCATTAGTTTGCCTGTCTTCCCAAGTGATGTGTAAAAATTTTCGGAGACACCGTTCATGGAATCTTCTGAGCAGTTGGAGATGGCGTTTATAAGTGGTCCACATTTCACAAGCATACAGTAGGTTTGGTAGTACAATGGCTTTGTAAACAGTAACACATCTATAAAACAGCATTTAAAAATATGTAGTGGATGTATCACCCAGTTCTGCCTCCAGAATTTGGTGGACTACGACATTCCCTGCCAATGGCTAAGGATGATGGGAGTTGTAGTTCAGCAGCATCTGGAGAGTCTAAGGTTCACCCAAGCTATGTCAATGGCTTCAGCAGGGATGCATGAACATCCCTCTGTTCACCGTCTCTGAATTTTGCGATGCAGTATATACAAAAATGCATTCATCTGGGGAAAGCGTGCTGAACATATTTATTATAGCGGCACAGTGGCATACAAAATGCATTGTTTAAGGGGAAATCTGTGCATTAGTCAAAACCGCATAAGAGTCTTTATTGGAAGAAATTCACATGAAAGTGTTGGTGAATTTTCATGAGGATATTTTAAAATAATAATAATAATCGCAAATTGCTGCAGAAATGTGGAGATTTGCATTTGAGACTGGAAAAATGAGAAACATAGCAACTCAAAATGGGAAGATTTTACCATCTGTACTTGAAAGTGATGGTTTTGACCATTAAATCACTACAGGGTTGGGTCCCGTGTCATTAGTTCAAGTTGATTATTCCCAAGAAACCTGGAACTTTTCTTTTAGGAATTATAGATAATGATGTACCCAAAGAGTTGCTTAACTTATTTATCGTACTTTTCCGTGTATAAGACAAGGGTTTTTCCCCTCAAAAATAATGTTAAAAAACGGGGGTCATCTTATACACGGGCAGTGCATTGCGGGACAAGGTGACTGGTTGCAGCCACAAGCTGCAGTTTATAAGCAGCAATTTGGTAGCTAATTTTGGCTGTGTCCAAGGCTGCTTTGGATTGGGTGCTCCTGCGTTAATTGAGCAGGTGATTGGTTGCTGGTGATTGGTTGCTGCTGTCTTAGATTGGCTGCCACTGCGGCAATTGGGTGTTCGGTTTCCGGCTTGTGTTTGTGAACGGGCAGACGCTTGTCAACTTCTGCGATGCAAGCGACTCTGAGCTCTTGTCATTTGGGTTAGTGATTTTCTTCATTTCCTCCCCCTGCCCCCCCCCCAGAAAGCCCAAGAACCTTTAGCAACCCCCCTCAAAAAAAGCCCAACAAATTTGCACAATCATTCCCCTGAAAAGCTCTGGTAATATAGGCATCTCCCCCCATTTCCTAAAATTTGAGTCCTCCAAAATAGGGGGACATCTTATCCATGGGGCGTCTTATAGATGGAGAAGTACGGTATGTATTTAACAACAGCAGCAAGAATACTGCATGCCCAAAGGTGGAAAGAAGGACAGGTCACAACAAGGGAAGAATGGCTTTTAAAAATAATGGAGTGTGCCGAACTGGCAAGATTAACAGCAAATATTCGAGAGCACCAGGATGAAAGATTCCTTGAGGAGACTTTTTATTGAGAAAGAACTACAACAACGAGATGAAAACGCGAGTAGGACTTGAAATATGAGCAACAGTGTTAATTATTAAGATAATAATTATCTTAATTGAGGTATTGAGATAAATAGGTTAAAATGGATTATTGAATATTCTACGTGAAATACGCAGCTTTTAAGGGTAAATATGGAAACCGTGGAAGTGGGGGAGAGAAGCCAATGGAAAAAAGTAATTCATGGTCTATGTTAAAATCTGTGAAGTTTTTGTTTGTGTGTGTGTGTGTGTGAAAAATCAATAAATAAGAACTTTCCCGCCATAAATGCACGTTTGCCTACACCCGAACTGGAGGAACCTATTGCGCTTCAGTTCTGGTTGGGCAACAACTCCCATCAAATTCCCAGAGATGCCGTCATTCCGGTGCAGAAATCTCCATTGTTTTGCAGCAAGATAGCTTCAGGAAAACAATGTGAACACACCTGCCCTGCTCTGCGGGTAATGATGCGTTTTATTTTCTTTAAGTTTGAAAGTACGCTGGCACAATTAAATATAGATGAGCCGAGTCTCTTGATTGACTTGGAGTCTGCAGGCTGGGCCTGGCAATGAAACCCCCCGAGGGCCACACCCCCTGGTAGGCCCAGGGCTATGCCTTTCAAGGCAGGACAATTATAATTAATTGAGCGATCTGACAGAACGAGCACCCCCAGACATAGCGCCTGCCAGTGACACGGGGGCCTGTATCAAGAGCAAGGCAGGCCACGCGAAGGGTTAATCCGGGTTGGCTGGAACAAGGACAGAAAATCAGGCCTGTGGCTATTACAGCTTATTATGCTGGAGTGCTCAAGAAACAACCTTGCAATCTTTTCCTCCACACACACAGACACACTTTATCCTCACCCCCTTTTCCTGCCTTCCTCCATTTTAATTAGTGACATATTTTCTGCGGGGATACAGTAAACCGTACAGGAATGCATCACTCTTGGCTGTGGGAGTATCAGCGCCATTCACGAGGGTGGAGCGCAGCAAGCTCAGTTAGGATTTGGGGGGCAACCCCACTGTGGAACTGAGCCGTTTTGCTTGGGATCAAGAAAAAACTTTGGAAGGAAATGAGGATACGCCTGCCAGGGGAGTAATCCCATGGATGAATGAGAGCACCAATCAAAATAACAAAAGTTCCCAGGAAATTAATAATAATAATAATAATAATTTATTTGTACCCCGTCGATCAGGACACAGGTGGCGCTGTGGGTTAAATCACAGAGCCTAGGACTTGCCGATCAGAAGGTCAGTGGTTCAAATCCCTACGACAGGGTGAGCTCCCATTGCTCGGTCCCTGCTCCTGCCAACCTAGCAGTTTGAAAGCATGTCAAAGTACAAGTAGATAAATAGGTATGGCTCCAGTGGGAAGGTAAATGTTGTATCTGTGCGCTGCTCTGGTTTGCCGGAAGCGGCTTATTCATGCTGGCCACATGACCCGGCTCCCTCAGCCAATAAAGCAAGATGAGCGCCGCAACCCCAGAGTCGGCCACGACTGGACCTAATGGTCAGGAGTCCCTTTACCTTTACCCTTACCCCACCCATCTGGCTGGGTTTCCCCAGCCACTCTGGGCAGCTTCCAACAAAGATTAAAAATACATTAAAATATCACACATTAAAAACTTCCTGGAGCCCATTTGTCCAGTGTCGTGATAAACTTTAGGCACCATGTGAAAGTGTAATTTTATCATCAGGTGGTATAAAAAAGATTTGCAGCTGGTTTTTTAAAAAAATCTGTTGATACTTGGCTAGCTCCCCCCACACACACACACACATTATGTAAATATATATATATTGGTTGGCAGCCATCTGTCTCTCACGCCATCCAAACATCTTAGGGACTCCATTCCAGATTTGTGTAGAGTTTACTCCTTAGTCCTTTCTTCTCCTGAAGATGTCCCACAAGGCAGCAGAGGTTAAGGATCAGAGTTGTCCTTCTCCTAGATAGGCCACCTTCCCAGGTGGATGAGCCCCACCTGCCCCTCAATTCCCTCTAGCAAGACCCCCCCTCCCGGCCTCAATGATGCGGTCCAAAGGAAAGCAGAGCAAGACATTTGACACCAGCTTGGCTGCAGGAGTTGCCGCAAGGAGGTGTACCAAGTGCTTCCCAGCTGTCTCCACCCCCATCGTTCTGCCCCAGACACTGAGGTCCAGTGCCGAGGGCCTTCTGGCGGTTCCCCCGCTGCAAGAAGCCATGTTACAGGGAACCAGGCAGAAGGCCTTCTCAGTAGTGGCACCCGCCCAGTGGAACATCCTCCCACCAGATATCAAAGAGAAAAACAACTACAAGACTTTTAGAAGACAACTGAAAGCAGCCCTGTTTAGGGAAGCTTTTAATGTTTAATAGGTTATTGTATTTTAATATTCTGTTGGAAACCACCCAGAGTGGCTGGGGAAGCCCAGCCAGATGGGTGGGGTATAAATAATAAATTATTATTATTATTATTATTATTATTATTATTATCATCATCATCATCTTAGGGACTCCATTCTGCATTTGTGTAGGGTTTTTCTTCTCCCAAAGATATCCCGCAAGGCCGCAGCAGAAATATATATGGGGGGGGGGGAGGGAAAAAGAATAGAAATGAGATGCCTTGCCCATTCTGGTCTACTCCTCAGATCAAAATGCTTCAATTGCTCTGCCTGCAGTACCATGCCTACCTAGGGGCACTGCTATTGAATGGCTGCTAGAGAAAAATAAGGGAGGAAAGGGAACCCCTTTTTAAGAACATAAGAATATTTCGTTGAGTAAGGCCAATTGCCCATCTAGTCCAGCATCCTTTACCCACAGTGTACAGGGTATGCCTGTGGGATTCCTTTAAGGAGGACCTGAGTGTAACAGCGTTTTTCCCTCTTGTGTTTTTCCAGTAACAGAAGCATTAGTGCCTCAAACTATGGATGCAGAGCACAGCCATCATAACTGGTCCCTGTCGATAGCCTTGGCCTCCATGAATTGGTCTAATCCTCTTCTGAAGACAGCCATGTCGGTGCCCATCGCTGTCTCCTATTGGCAATGATTTCCATAGTTTATCTATGTGCTGCCTGAATAAGTGCTTTTGTTTTGTTTATCCCGAATCATCCAATGTTCAGCATTATTGGATGTCTCTGAGTCCAGGTGGTATGAGAGGGGGAGGAAAACTTTTTCACGGTGTACTTTCCTCATGTCTTGCAGAATTTTATACACTTTAATAATACATTTTATACACTTCTTCTTTAATTCTCTCCACCCTTCAAATCAACACTGAAGGGCAAAGCAGGCATGCGCACACCAAAGAAAAAAGAAAAAACACCCGTATTTTTCTGCAGTTTGATAGTCTTCTTTCTCAGGAGCCTCTCTCCCATGTCTGCAGTTTTAAGACCAGTTTCCCACAAAACACAGGAGGAGGTTAAGGGAATCCTTTTTTTAACCACTCTAAACCTCCAAAAGCTGCCCTTCCAGGAAAACCCCTGCAGCTTCTGAAATTTGGCAGGATTCACTACTTCATCAAGGGGCTACAACTGATGTAATTTTAATTAAGTTCTTCCTATTCAAAACCAAAAACTTATACAAGGTTATTTAAAATAATAAGAATAATGGTGCCCAACAGAAAAATGAAAAATCCTGGACCAACTGATATGTAACTTGGCAGGCTTAGTCCTCTATGCAGTGAAACCTCAATTTTCGAACGTCGCTGTTGATGAACATTTCAGTTTTCGAACGCCGTAAACCCAGAAGTAAATGTTTTGGTTTTCAAACACACCTCAGAAGTCGAACATGCCACGCAGGTTCTGCTGAGTGCAAGATCCTGAGGCCTAGCTGTAGGCTATTGGGTTTTTGGTTTTCAAATGTTTTCAAATGTTTCAGATCTCAAACCGTCTTCCGGAACGGATTATGTTCAAAAACCCAGGTAACATTGTACCTGCAAATTCCACCCACTTTGGACAAAATGGAGAGAGAGAGAGAGAGAGAGCCATGTTATGATTTCCCTGTATTAGGGAAGGAATGAAGCTTTGTTTTTCTGAAGCAGATTGGGGCTTTGAACTCTATGCTAACTTGGATACCCCCAAAGCACTTTGGACTAAAGTAGGATATTTTCCAAAGTGCCGAATTTGGGTCTAAGCCAGATCTTATGGTTGGTGCACATCCAATATAAGCAGCATAAACAAGCAAATAAATTCCCAGGTTGCCCTAAAGTTTTGACAAACACAAGATTCAAAGGCAAATTTTGAGTTCCTGCTAGAATGAAATATCTAAGGACTAAAAACGGAATTGTAGAGTGGCAATAACTGTAGCTGATTTCCCCCCCCCCCCTTATCTGGAGTGGTCCACCACAGCTCTATATGGGTATTTTATTTTATTTCCCCTTATTCAAAGAACAACAAGAAATACTAGGATATTTCCTGACATTTCCTGTCCTTTCAACTGACAAACTGTGCGCTGCACACCTTGGCTCTATACACACCATATATTTAAAGCATCCTTGAAAGAATCCTGGGAACTTTTCTTTTTTAAGGAAGCTGGGAATTGTAGCTCTGTGAGAGGTATTTTTTTTTCTTTGGAGGGGTGCTTTAAATGAATGACATGAAGCAGGGACATAGCAAGGGTTGCTGGTATCCAGGGCGGGGCGGATGCTGTGCCCCCTGGTGGTCTGGGCAGCGGTCAGCCCATTCGCCAGCCAGCATTTAATCAAGGGAGTCGCTCCTTGCTAACTAGCCCCAAGCTGGGAGCAGAGATAAGGCAAATATATGTGAAGCCAGGAGCAGCACTGTGTCTCGTTGCCTTCCTGTCCTTGCAGCACGGTGCTCTGGACAACGCATTGCCAGGATGCTGTCAGCAGCTCCCAGCTGGTTGCCCAGGAAAAGTATAAAGACAAGGAAAAGTTTCTTACCGTCCTTTTTTATTTCAATCTTTACAGAGAGAGGCTATAGAACCCAGCCTCTTGGATAATGGCGTTGTCCCGAGTGAATCTCCATACACCCCGTCTCTCCCACTTCCTCATTCATCTCTTCTGCGGGTGCCTGCTACATGCCCTCTGTCTTTGAGCTCTTTGCTCTCCTACTTTTAAGGCTCGCCGGGTTCTGGGAGATGGAGGGTCTAGGATGCTTTCTAGCAACAACATGTCATCCAGGTGTTGCTCTGGCTCTCCCATGATTTCCCAGCTTTTCCTCTCATCTGCCTCTGAGCTGTGACCTGCCTCAAACCCCTGTTGTAAATCTATACAGCGGTACCTCTGGTTGCGGACGGGATCCATTCCAGAGGTCCGGTCAGACTCCGAGGTTTCCACAACCTGAGGACCACTTCTGTGCATGCGCATATGGCGAAACCCAGTAAAATACTTCCGGGTTTGCCACACGCACATCCCAAAGTTTACATAAACAGAGGGTTGCGTAAACAGAGGTACGACTGTACAGTCATAGCTCTTGTTATGTTTGCTTCAGGTTAAATCTTTTCAGGTTGCGTCCTGTGGTGACCCGGAAGTACCAGAAAGGGTTACTTCCGGGTTTCGCCACTCGCACATGCGCAGACGCTCAAAATGACATCATGCGCAGAAGCGGCGAAGCAGACATGGGTTGTGTTCTGCTCATGTTGCGAATGGGGCTCCGGAACGGATCCTGTTCACAACCAGAGGTACCACTGTACTGTCTTCCTCCTCCCTGGAAGGGTCAGGATGGAGAGGCGGTCTCCACCATTCCTCCTCTGCCCAGTCCCTGACATGCGCACGTTCCCACCTTCCTCTTCCTCCCTCCCTCTTTGGTGGGCAGCAGCAGACCCTTCCCCCCTCCTCAGCTTGCCCAGGGGCAGGGCATGTGTGGGCATCCATTCACTGGCTACGAAAAGAAGGAAGAGGCGGTGCCATGCCAGCCTTGAAGGCTCAGCCTGGGCGTGGCTTGCCTCCCCTTGGCTCCGGCCTCGATGAGGGAACCTGTCATGAGGGTGCCAGTTTACGCCTCCTCAGAAATTTGTGCCAGGGGCTCCCCACGCTACGCCGCTGGTTTGAACGCTGCCTTAGAGACCTTACATGAAACCGCTTAAATCCAGATATTTTTAAACAATTGCAGATAAATTAGGAGTGGGGGAAGCCTGGAGCTTTAGAATGGGTGGAGATTACCTCCTCACTTTGCTTCAGAGTGCTATAAATTACACGTCCGAGGGAAGTTGTGCTAGAAAAGCCCCTCAAGAAAAAGAAGGAAGTGTCATTTTTGTGGTAAATAGCACTGAAGCCAAATGTGTTATCACAGTGAAAACTCGCAAGAAAGGAAGCATACGGAACGATAGGACGTTCCGTTTTGCAGTGAACACTGAGGGAAACAAGTCTTGTAACATTAAAGGTTTCGATTCTATGCATACTTACTTGGGAACAAGACCCACTGGACTTAGTGGGACTGACTTCTGTGTAAACTTGCCTAGGACTGGGCTGCAGATATAGAAAGAGGTATAGGCAGACCTTTGGAGAAATAGGCAAACCTTTGAATAACTTGAACCCAAAAATGTTTAGCTTTGCCTCCAGACTGCCATATTTTGCGGGAGGAGGAATTTGGTTGTCTACCGGAAATTTAGGTTTGCACATTTCAGGTGGTCTAAAGCACGCTCTGATATCAGTCAAGCTTGCAAAAAATTGCCATTTGCCCGACAATAAATGTTGGAAATGTAATGAGACTGAAGGTACATTCTTTCACCTTTGGTGGACATGCCCAAGGATTAAGACATTCTGGGAGATGATTTATAATGAAATGAAAAAGGTATTCAAATATACCTTCTTGAAGAAACCAGAGGCCTTTCTCCTGGGCATGGTCGGCCAATTGGTGCCAAAGAAGGATAGAACTTTTTTTATGTATGCAACAACAGCAGCAAGAATACTCATCGCAAAGTATTGGAAGACACAAGATTTACCCACCCGGGAAGAATGGCAGATGAAGTTGATGGACTATATGGAATTGGCGGAAATGACTGGCAGAATCCGAGACCAGGGAGAAGAATTGGTGGAAGAAGACTGGAAAAAATTTAAAGACTATTTACAGAAATATTGTAAAATTAATGAATGTTAGAAAAATGTTGGAATGAAATTATATGGCTTTAGTAGAAATGTTATAAGGAAATAAGTATAAATAGATAAATAGAGTATTAAAGGAAAAATAAGGTTAGAATGTGTTAAGATAATTATAGGATAGAAAACAGAGGAAGATGGAAAGGAATTGCTGAAACAATTAACAGAAGTGGAATACAAAAGGGAGGTGTGAGGAGGTCGTGGAAATAAGTGAATGAAAGATAAGATATTGAAATTGTTTGATTTATTTTAAACTGTTTTTGTTTTGTTTTGTTAGTTTAATGTGTTTAATGTGTTTAATGTGTTAATGTTATGTAGTGTTTTTGTACTGTATTGTATTGTATTGTATTGTTTTTGTAGTGTTTAAATTGTTGGAAAAGCAATAAATATTAATTTAAAAATAAAATAAAATAAAGTACGCTCTGATAGAAGAAATTCCCATTTGAAGAAGAAAGTGGCCGGAAGATGCACGGAAATGTGTGGGATGAACACAGGATTCACGGGGAGATGTATAACTTCTACATAAGCAAATCTAGGTGAAATCAGGATGAACAGTCATTGTCGTCTAACTGCCCCACATTCAAATCAGAATGAATGCTCAATAAACAGGCCGTCTGGTGGATTTCTAGGACTTTAATAGTCATAACTAGCTCTTTAAATGTAGACCTAAACTGAATTTTTCAGGCACCTACAATTAATTTGGTGTTAAGAATTGCCTTAACTAGCTCTCTGTCCTTCCAGCTGAGAAATGTATCCACGTCTCTTATGTGAATTGTTTGCCTGCAGAATTAGTTTATTTTATTGGCAGGAAAGAAATGAGAAACCCTGGCAATAAATATGGGAGTCAAATGTTCAATAACCAAAGAGACCAAGGACTTAGCATTTCCAGTTTGTCTTAGTGACAGGTAAGATTTTATTTCTGGCTTGCAAGTTCAGTGAGTGTCAAAATGTTCAGCGTGGGGCCTTGTCCACTTTCTTGTTGATGTTTCCATTTTGCAGGACACCTCATTCCAGGCTTGACATTCCCTGTTCTTCAACTGGTACCTGCATCAATTTTATCTTTCTTTCGCTTTTGAGGAGAAAATGCCACTCTGTCCCATCCCATTCTGTTCGCAGAGGTATTACTTATTCTCCATTCCGCAGAGATTTGAGAGTCATTGCTGAGATTGCACTGAAATGAGGGATGGAAAATCATTTTCAGACTGAGGCTCACATACCCTTCTGCACACCTGTCCGGGACCACATGACGGTGGTGGGTGGAGTTAGGCAACAACGCGGAAACTTACCAATGCTCTTTTTATAAAAGGTTGCTCTCACTCACTCACCTGTCTGTCATATTCTTGCACTCCAGCATCACAATGCAGCACAGCTCAAGGACTGTCTACATGAATGTCCTAACACAGGAGTGGGGAACCGGTTTCAGCCAAGACATTCCATCCCTGAAAAGTACACAGAGGAAAAGTTAAAAGAATGGAGCTGTTTGCCACATCCTCTTTAAGCTCTATGCTCTATGTGATTTCAAAGCTCAGATAAGCACCTGATCAGCTGTAGCAGAGTCAGGTAGCCGTGTTGGTCTGACACAGATGAAATAATAATAATAATAATAATAATAATAATAATAATAATAATAAATTAAAAATTGTCCAGTAGCACCTTAGAAACCAACTAAGTTAGTTCTGGATACAGTGGTACCTCAGGTTACACACGCTTCAGGTTACATACGCTTCAGGTTACAGACTCCGCTAACCCAGAAATAATGCTTCAGGTGAAGAACTTTGCTTCAGGATGAGAACAGAAATGGTGCTCCGGCAGCCAGGCGGCAGCAGGAGGCCCCATTAGCTAAAGTGGTACCTCAGGTTAAGAACAGTTTCAGGTTAAGAACGGACCTCCAGAACAAATTAAGTACTTAACCCAAAGTACCACTGTATAAGCTTTCGTGATGGAGAGAGAGAATGGATTTCTGTGGTGAGGAAGGGAAAGAGAGAGAGAAAAGATATTTGACACTCATGCACAAACACAAATGCCCTGGCTCTGGAAGAAGGATTACAACGAATGCTGGATTCGGTGCTGATTTAGGAACCTATGGGCATTGGTACCCAGAAATGCATTTTATCAGTGTTGGCTCATGTGCAAACAGCATCTCTGGCCACAGCAGACCTGGTCACAGGGGTCCACACTCTGGCCACATCTAGGCTAGGCTGCTGCAATGCATTCTATGTGGTGCTGCCTTTAAGGACTGTCTGGAAACACCAGCCGAGTCCAAAACGAGAGTCCTCATGGGTGTGCAGCAGTTAGCTTCAATAGCGCCTGTATTATCCCAGCTGCGGAGCCTTCCAGCATGTTGCCAGGCCCAATTGAAAGTGATGTCTTTAACCTTTAAAGCTTTAAATGCTTTGGGCCTGTGCTATCTGGAGGCACTCGTGCCTGCTTGTTGAGATCTCTATCAGAAGCCCTCTTGGGGTTGCATTCAGCTGTGGGAAATGTTGCGTTAGTTTTCCTGATTATAACGCTAAGGCTTCTGTCCTGTTTTCTAATGTTCCTTTCACACTGCACGCAGCACCTCTCGTGTTGTGCAAGGGTAGCTTTTCAACCAAGATTTCCAGCAAGTGGCGCTGAATTTTGTTCACACCGGTGGGCATGGTGTGACAAAACAAGGAGCGTCACTGGACAACATTCTCCCACCCTCTCTGCACCTGTGTGGTTCTGTTCACCCATGAAAACAGCAAGAGGAAACTGTACACTGATATACACCCCATCCCCTGCCATTTCAACACTTTGCTCCTGCAATTTTCCAGATTTGAAGGGGCTGAAAATGAATTCCCCCTCCCTCTGGAGACAAATGCAGCAGAATTAAGTGCCAAGCATGTACAGTGGTACTTCAGGTTACATATGCTTCAGGTTACAGACTCCGCTAACCCAGAAATAGTACCTCGGGTTAAGAACTTTGCTTCAGGATGAGAACAGAAATTGTGAGGCGGCGGCGCAGCAGCAGCGGGAGGAGGCCCCATTAGCTAAAGTGGTGCTTCAGGTTAAGAACAGTTTCAGGTTAATAATGGACCTCCAGAACGAATTAAGTTCTTAACCCGAGGTACCACTGTACTATATTCCATTTGTTGTTGTTTAGTCGTTTAGTCGTGTCCGACTCTTCGTGACCCCCTGGACCAGAGCACGCCAGGCACTTCTGTCTTCCACTGCCTCCTGCAGTTTGGTCAAACTCATGTTCGTAGCTTCGAGAACAGTGTCCCACCATCTCGCCCTCTGTCGTCCCCTTCTCCTTGTGTCCTCAGTCCTTCCCAACATCAGGGTCTTTTCCACGGAGTCTTCTCTTCTCATGAGGTGGCCAAAGTATTGGAGCCTCAGCTTCACGATCTGTCCTTCCAGTGAGCACTCAGGGCTGATTTCCTTCAGAATGGATGCGTTTGATCTTCTTGCAGTCCATGGGACTCTCAAGAGCTTCCTCCAGCACCATAATTCAAAAGCATCAATTCCATTAGTTTTCTGGAAGTAGCTTTTACATCGTGAGAAAGCTCAAATATAATGAAGGTGGCGGGCTCTCCTTCATTGGAGGTTTCTAAGCAAAGGTTGGATGGCCATCTGTCATGGATGCTTCAGTTAAGGTTCCTGCATTGCAGGGGGATGGACTAGATGACCCCCTGGTTCCCTTTCTTTCCCTCTACAATTCTATGAGTCTATGGTTCTCATGTGGAAATTAACAGGTCATTGTCATGAAAATGGCATAAACCAGGGGTAGGCAAACTAAGGCCCGGGGGCCGGATCCGGCCCAATCGCCTTCTCAATCCAGCCCGCGGATGGTCCGGGAATCATGTTTTTACATGAATAGAATGTGTCCTTTTATTTAAAATGCATCTCTGGGTTATTTGTGGGGCCTGCCTGGTGTTTTTGGATGAGTAGAATGTGTCCTTTTATTTAAAATGCATCTCTGGGTTATTTGTGGGGCATAGGAATTCATCCATATATTTTTTTTCAAAATATAGTCTGGCCCACCACGTGGTCTGAGGGATGGTGGACCGGCCCACGGCTGAAAAAGGTTGCTGACCCCTGGCATAAACTGTTGTGTGAATGCTTCTTAAAATATTGCACCCAGAACTAGTTGCCACCTGAACCACTACAGAAGAGTGTGAAACTCCTCCTCATCCCTGAGACTTTGTTTCTGTGCTTAAGGTTTTTTTTTTTTTAGCAGCTGCATTTCTCTACTGGCACAAGTACAGTTTACGTTCCGTGGGACACCTACATCCTTTTCACATGTACAGGTATGAAGGCACCCAGCTGCAGAATCCAGGTGGATTAAAAGGATAATCAATGACCATTTTGATAAGTGCTGAGAGTCACTCCGACTACTTACTTTTCCGTGTATAAGATGCCCCCTATTTTTGAGGACTCAATTTTAAGAAATTGTTGGGCTCTTTTTGGCGGAGGGTTGCCCAGAGTTTTTGAGCTTTGGGGGGGTTGCAGTAAAATGCTCACCCACATGTGTCGCAAAATCCGCCTCTCGTCTGTCCCCTCATCAGCATAAGCTGCCAATCATCCGCCCAATTGTCGCAGCGTCAGCCAATCAACACCTCCCATTGATGCAGCAACCAATAACACAGCAACCAAACATCCAGCCTATGTTATGTATAAGGTGACCCCCATTTCTTAGCATTATTTTTAAAGAAAAAAACCTAGTCTTACATATGGAAAAGTAAGGTACATAGGACACTGACCTGGCATTCCTGTTGTTGTATAACTTATCAATTAGTCATACCTCATGTTACGTTTGCTTCATGTTACGTTCTTTCAGGTTACATCCCGCAGTGACCCGGAAGTACTGGAAAGGGTTACGTCCGGGTTTTCACCAGAAGCGCATGTGCAGAAGCACAAAATGACGTCACACGCATGCGCAGAAGCGGCGAGTCACAACCCATGTGTGCAGATGTGGGCTGCGCTCTTTTCATGTTGCAAACAGGCCTCTGTAATGGATCCCGTTCGCAACCAGAGGTACCACTGTATTCTTTTAAAAGGAAATATCATGTACGGTGTAGATCAGGGGGAGCCCACATAGAGCACAGATGGGAAAATGTGTGTCCCAATTTGGGGACTCAACATGTTGGAGGGTAGGATAAAACAGATCTGCCTATAGGTCAGAACCAGCACTTCAAATTGTGCCCAGAAATGGACTGGTGGCCGGTGAAGTTGCTTTAACAGATCAGTAACACCGGCTCTACGCGAGGCTACCCTCCGCCATTCACCTTCTTTAAATAAACAAAGAAGGAGAATTAAAAGACCGGAGCATAATGAAGGCCCGGGCTTTCCCATCATGCACCGGGAGGCTGTGCTCGCCGCCAGATCGCAGGACTTTGGAGCCGCCTGAAATTGCACAGCCCCCGATGGCGTGTAAGAAAGTGTAACGGGTTCATAATTGCAACCCTTTCATTACCGTCTCCTCAGTTCCCGGCCCACTAATGTCAAGAGCGCCGTCTTTGTAGCGTTATTGGCATTTTTCATCATATTCATGAAGTGCAGGTCAATTTTCTTCAAAAGGCTCCCATCGCCAAGTTGCCACAAAGACAGACAGTAATAAATTCTACTAGTGCACTCGTGAAGGCTTCGTAGCTGCGAGCTACAATAAAAAGCAATGAGCCGGGTGTCACTAAGTAACTCCAGTTTACACTGCATTTTCTCTCTTTTATTGAAAACTCAGGATATGAATTTATTAATGAATACACAGGCATACTTTGATGGGGGGGGGGAGAGGGAGGGAGAGCAAAAGGGGAGGTGGTGTTGGGTAGGGCGGGTGGGGGGAAAAGAGAGAGAGAAAGAGAGAGACCAAGTCAATTTATTTGATATTCACACAGTGAGTGCCTACATTGTATTGTTTCATCATTTATGGACCAGCTTTGCTTGTTAGGCTGTGGCCCTCCAGGAGCGAGAGAGAGAGGAGGGAAGGGGGGAGGCAAGGCTTATATAGCAACACCTTGACGTAGATGTACAGCTGCTCTCTCCGCGCTTGTCTCACCTTTAGCCCTGTCTGTCTACTGCAGGCTTTCATTTTCCGCATTCATACATCAATAAGCTTTGCATGCTGACACCTAATTTTGCAGGCTACTTTGGTTATGGAGGCCGCTTCTTTGCATATCACTACCCACCCCTTCTGACATCTCCTGGCTTTAAAGGAGGAGAGAATAGAAGGCGCCTTGGTTTGGAGGGGGTGGAAAGAGAAGGAGGAGAAGAAGAAGAAGGAGAAGGTGGTTTTCTTTTCTTCCAGGGCCTAATCAGAAATTTCTTTCTATTTGTCAGAAGCCGATCTGCCAAATCAAGTTTAATTGATTCAGCTGTTGTTTTCAAGCAATACTTTCCCCCCCTCTCTCTCCCTTTTTTAGTATGCTATTTTGAAGGTCTAGGCTGGTTCTTCACACAAATGGGAGATCTCTCCTGAAAGATAAATATGGGTGCCAATTAGTTAGCATTTCCATCCCAGTTAAATCTCGTTTTGAAAGGATTCTTCAGTATGTTCCAGACCCCCACCCCCAGATAGATTGATAGATGGATATCAAAATCCAGTACCCATCAGCATGTAAGAATCTGGATGTGGTCCGTGACGGGTGACTGCAGAGGTCAAGAGGTCAGTTTCTATCCCTACTTGGCTCCTACAATTAGTTCCTAAATTTTGCACAAAAAGAAAAGTTTGCATGTGTGTTTGTTTTATTTGCACACACACAAAGACACAGGCAGGCACAAAGACACCAGAGCCGTCCCCCAATTAGCAAAGCCTTAGCTGTTGCATCTCGTGAGTTTTAATTGATTTGTCAATTAATCTGCATAAATTTCCATATGAAAAACAACAACAGTTCTTAAGGGGGAGGGGGACGTTATTTCTTCAGTGTTAGATAAAGCATTGAATGCATTTAGATAGTCACACACATACATTTCTAACCCATTTGGAATACAGTGGTACCTCGGGTTACATTCGCTTCAGGTTACAGACTCCGCTAACCCAGAAATAGTATCTCGGATTAAGAATATTGCTTCAGGGTGAGAACAGAAATCGCGCAGTAGCGGCGCAGCAGCAGCGGGAGGCCCCATTAGCTAAAGTGGTGCTTCAGGTTAAGAACAGTTTCAAGTTAAGAACGGACCTCCGGAACGAATTAAGTACTTAATCCGAGGTACCACTGTATTCATAAACATTCCATTGCAGACACTGAGTCCATAACTTGGGAGGTATCATTCTAAAACAACGAAGGCAAATTACTTATGGCCTACAGCAAGCAAAGTTTCAAAACTTCCAGTCTGGGTTCAACTCAAAAATGGGGGTGCTTTCATGGACATTTGCAACAATGTTGAAAGGTCCCTCCCTTTTCCATGCTTTTTTAAAATGAGTCAAAAGTATCTATTTTTTAAGTATCTATCTGCAGCCAGAAAGGGTTGTAAGAAGTCATTGTCACATGCAGGAAAGTTTCCATTCAGCTGCAGCTCATCTTCTGTCCAAAGCTACATTGTTTGCTTCACTTTCTGCTGTAGTGAAATTCTATAACTCTGACACCCAAGACTTTTGTTTCAGATCACCCTCCAATTCTTCTGATAGTCAAATTTTCTAACTGATTTTAATATTGTATTTTTATATTGCTGTAACCTGCCCTAAAGCAGAGACATCACCTTGCCAACAAAGGTCCGTATAGTAATAGCTAGGGTTTTCCAGTAGTGATGTATGGAAGTGAGAGCTGGACCATAAAGAAGGCTGATCGCCGAAGAATGGATGCTTTTGAATTATAATGCTGGAGGAGACTCTTGAGAGTCCCATGGACTGCAAGAAGATCAAACGCTCTCCATTCTGAAGGAAATCAGCCCTGAGTGCTCACTGGAAGGACAGATCCTGAAGCTGAGGCTCCAATACTTTGCCCACCTCATGAGAAGAGAAGACTCCCTGGAAAAGACCCTGATGTTGGGAAAGATGGAGGGCACAAGGAGAATGGGATGACAGAGGAAGAGATGGTTGGACAGTGTTCAACGTGCTCTAGTCCATGGGGTCATGAAGAGTCGGACACGCCTAAACGACTAAACAACAACAACAACAACCTGCCCTAAGACATTATGCTGAAGGGCAGGTAAGAAATCCAATAAATAACTAAGACCGATTTTTTGCTTTGTTCCTCATACAGTGGTGCCTCGCAAGACGAAATTAATTCGTTCCGCAAGTTTTTTCTTCTTGCGAGTTTTTCGTCTTGCGATGCACGGTTTCCCATAGGAATGCATTGAAAATCAATTAATGCGTTCCTAGGAAGCCGACTTCAGACCAGGTCCGGGGACAGTCTGTCCCCGACCTCTTCTGAAGGCTGGGGGGGACAAGGGCTTTTCTTCCCACCCACCCCAGCATTTTAAAAACCCGGGACAGCGGAGGGCTTCTCCGCTGTCGAGGCGATCTTAAAATGCTGGCGGGCGGCATTTAAAATTGCCCGGGACAGCGGAGGACTTCTCCGCTGTCCGGGGCAATTCAAAGCCCCTGGGAAGGCAGGCAGGGGGACAAAGACTTTGCCCCCGCCAGCCTTCAGAAGAGGTCCTGGACCTCTTCTGAAGGTTGGCGGGCGAAGTCTTGTCCCCCACCTGCCTTCAAAAGCTGTCCAGCCAAGGCTTCGCGGACCTCTCCGCAAGCAGCGGCAGCACTGCCGCTGCTTGCGGAGAGTTGCCGGCATGCCGAAGCCTGCGCGCGCTGAGATCAGCGCGCCCAGGCTTCGCGGACCTCTCCGCGAGCAGCGGCAGCGCTGCCGCTGCTTGCGGAGAGTTGCCGGCATGCCGAAGCCTGCGCGCGCTGAGATCAGCGCGCCCAGGCTTCGCGGACATCTCCGCGAGCAGCGGCAGCGCTGCCGCTGCTTGCGGAGAGTTGCCGGCATGCCGAAGCCTGCGCGCGCTGAGATCAGCGCGCCCAGGCTCCGCGGACCTCTCCGCGAGCAGCGGCAGCGCTGCCGCTGCTTGCGGAGAGTTGCCGGCATGCCGAAGCCTGCGCGCGCTGAGATCAGCGCGCCCAGGCTCGCGGACCTCTCCTGCCTTCAAAAGCCGTCCGGGATGGCGGGAGCGCTTCCCTGCTATCCCGGACTGCTTTTAAAATGCTGGCGGTGGGGGGCAAAGCCTTTCGGCCCCCGCCAGCCTTCCTGGACCTCTTCTGAAGGCCGGAGGGGAAGGCTTTGCTCCCCACCGCTAGCATTTAAAAGAGGTCCCCGGAGATTTCCCTATGGGCTTTCGTCTTGCGAAGCAAGCCCATAGGGAAATTCGTTTTGCGAAGCGCCTCCAAAACGGAAAACCCTTTCGTCTAGCGGGTTTTCCGTCTTGCGAGGCGTTCGTCTTGCGGGGCACCACTGTAGCTGGCTCCCACTATTCTCTCTGTCACCTTCCTGCATTCTAGCATCCCATTCCAATACAGCTCTAAGGTGTACCACAGAATTTTAATTTTACCTTCTGAAAATGCTTAATAATAATAATAATAATAATAATAAACAAGCAACAATAATAACAATAACAGCAGCAACAGCAACAACAACAACAACAACAACAACAACAATTTATTTATTATTTATACCCCGCCCATCTGAATGGGCTTCCCCAGCCACTCTGGGCGGCTTCCAAAAAAATTACTATAATACTGCAACACATCAAACATTAAAAGCCTCCCTAAACAGGGCTGCCTTCAGATGTCTTCTAAAAGTTTGGTAGTTGTTGTTCTCTTTGACATCTGGTGGGAGGGCGTTCCACACCAAGGGCGCCACTACCGAGAAGGCCCTCTGCCTGGTTCCCTGTAACTTGGCTTCTCACAGTGAGGGAACCACGAGAAGGCCCTTGGCGCTGGACCTCAGTGTCCGGGCTGAACGATGGGGGTGGAAACGCTCCTTCAGGTATACTGGACCAAGGCCATTTAGGGCTTTAAAGGTCAGCACCAACACTTTGAATTGTGCTCGGAAACGTACTGGGAGCCAATGTAGGTCTTTCAAGGCCGGTGTTATATGGTCTCGGCGGCTGCTCCCAGTCACCAGTCTAGCTGCCGCGTTCTGGATTAGTTGTAGTTTCCGGGTCACCTTCAAAGGTAGCCCCACGCACAAACAATACACTATAACTGCAATGCAATCATTTTCTATACAGTTTGACACACATTTTCTTTACCAAGCAAAACTAAATCATATCGATTCAACCAAAATATCTTTGGAATTCCCAAGTCATAGAATCAAAGAACAGCAAAGTTGGAAGGGACCACAAGGGTCATCTAGTCCAACCCCTGCAATGAAGGAATCTTTTTGCCCAATGTGGGCTTGAACTCAAAACCCTGAGATTGAGATTTTCATTCTCTACCGACTGAGGTATCTCTTCCCAGCTCAAGTCGCGACACGGCATTTAGCACCTCACCTCATTTTCGGAAAGTTAAAGTTGGGGGGGGGAATCAACATGGCCTACTTTTACAGCCCAAGGGCCACATTGACTTACAGGGAACCTTCCGGGGGCCACATGCCAATGGGAGGTGGGGCCATTGGGGCAGAGCAACTAATGGGTTGTCACGTGTGCAATAGGCTACATTGTTCACTCTCTCTCCTCCATTCAGAGAAGCAAGAGGCACTGTCAGAGTTCAAGGGCATATGCCAGTCAGCCAAAAAGAGGGTGAAAAACAGAGGGTCTCAAGGGCCAGATAGAGAGCACAAGAGGGCCATGTTGGGCTCCTGGGCTGGAGGGTCCCTGTTCCTGCAGTAATACAGCGCTGTGCCTACTAAACATGCCCCCTGCAAGTTTATACACATCTGGCTCCACACCCCGTTGGGTGACATGCATTCAGCATCATGATCATCTTCTTCTTCATCATCATCATTTATTATTATTTATACCCCGCCCATCTGGCTGAGTTTCCCCAGCCACTATGGGCAGCTCCCAACAGAATATTAAAAACACGATAAAACATCAAACATTAAAAACTTCCCTAAACAGGGCTGCCTTCAGGTGACTTCTAAAAGTCAGATAGTTGTTTCTTTCCATGACATCTGAAGGGAGGGCGTTCCACAGGGCAGGTGCCACTACTGAGAAGGCCCTCTGCCTGGTTCCCTGTAACTTCACTTCTCGCAGGGAGGGAACCGCCAGAAGGCCCTTGGAGCTGGACCTCAGTGTCCAGGCTGAATGATGGGAGTGGAGACGCTCCTTCAGGTATACAGGGCCGAGGCCATTTGGGGCTTTCAAGGTCAGCACCAACACTTTGAATTGTGCTTGGAAATGTACTGGGAGCCAATACAGTAGTACCTCGGGTTAAGAACTTAATTTTTTCTGGAGGTCCGTTCTTAACCTGAAACTGTTCTTATCCTGAGGTACCACTTTAGCTAATGGGGCCTCCTGCTGCCGCCGTGCCACTGGCAAGTGGTTTCTGCTCTCATCCTGAGGTAAAGTTCTTAACCCGAGGTACTATTTCTGGGTTAGCAGAGTCTGTAACCTGAAGTGTCTGTAACCCGAGGTACCACTGTATAGGTCTTTCAGGACCAGTGTTATATGGTCAAGCACAACCATCTCCCTCTGAGCTGGTGCACTGGCTAATCACAGGCTGCAATGCCTCTCTCTGTACATTCAGCCCAACCAAACAGGCCCTTTCTCTTCCCAGCCCATCGCAACAACGGGCCTCTTGCTTGAATCACCCAAAGCCGGACCTCGCTAGCAGATAAACAGGCTAATAAAGCTCGACAAATGCCAAGCTTTTGCAAGCAAATAAACAAACCGGCGGCGGTAGCAAAAAACAAAACCCACTTGCTATCCAAATCCATTTGCATCTTCCTCCTTTTCTTTATTTTTTCTGCCCAGCAAAGGAGAAAGTTTGTCAAGGAAGACTGATCAGAAGGATGCCACTCGGTGACAGGACGCGTTGATTTATTTTTGTGTTGCGGCAGGTTCTAACAACGGCGGCTGCTCAGAGTCGTCACAGAAAGGCATTGTGGGAGATGTCGGCAGCTCCCGACAAGCACCCTGCCTCTGATGACAGACATTTATTAGGATACATAATGTGGATGAAGCCGATTCGTACCTTGGCATGCTGGTTTCCCGTAACTGTCACATGTGATGATGGCTTCAAGTTTTTCCCTTCACGGACACCCTCCAGACACACACACACACAAAATCTCTGTAAGGGACAATATCGCTAACACTGAGTATTTCACACAGAGAGAAAGAGGCAAGCTATAGATAGCAAGGGAAGCTTTTGGGCCTAGCGCTGAAGAGCGTGCCATTTTAAAACACGAAATCTGTTCTTGCAATGTTTGTAAGGGGAGAACAAGGGGGGGAAAGGAACTTTCAAGTGTAGTTCGTCGCTCTCTTAATGAGGCACGGGGTCTTCTTAAGAGCCAGCCGGCAACTGTGGAAGAACACATACCCTCAGTACTTGACGTCCTCAAAACAGCTGACAGTTTCAGATAAATCGGCTTGCATAGAGACTCCCCTTTTCGCATCACCTGGAGTGACAGAATAGTGCTAATTTCATTTGAGGGAGGGAAGTGGGGAGGAAAACAAAAGACATGCAGAGAGAGAAATTCATATGTCTTCGGCGTGTTGAGCCGTCAGTGTAAAATTAACCAAACTGGAAACCATCGAGATCTGAGACGAAAGAAGGGGTTTTGTCAACCAAAATCTTTTTAATCTCTCCCCCCCCACACAAAAAAACTGGCACTCCTTTCCTCCTCTGAATCTGCCAACATTTCACAGGCTCCTTCATCTTTTTAACTACAGTTGCATGACAACTTTAGGAAAGAATGGCTGACTTCCTCAATACAGGAAGGGATGCGGTTAGTGATTCTTACACTCAAGAGTGCTTTCTTTCCGAATTGTCTTCTGCTGCACTAGTCTTCAAAGTGTGCTCCATGGGGATTTGGGTTCCTTGCTGGAAGCTCCGTAAGAACTCCACCATGAGAAGACCAGTTACGCTTTCTTGAAAATCAGCTCTTCCACCATGACAGATTTTCCCCTACAATATTCAGTGGCCGTAGAGCATTTGGAAGTGTATGCTCTTTCAGCCAAGTCATACAGAATGATGAAACACAGGGTATCTAGCCAATATTCTGCAAGAACTGAGGGCTTATCTGCACTTACCTTTTCAACCACTCATTCCAGGCACAGGTCCGTGCTTAAAAAATCTGTTTTGCCCTGAAGATTGCCCCACAAAAAACCACTCAATCAGAGGAAATGTGCATTTGGATTTTCCGTGAATTGCTGTTTGCTCCAACTGAGCTTTAAAGAGTGGGTTTTCATGAGGAAAGCTCTGGGGGGGGGGGGAAATCACTCAGACATATAACATTGAAGCATGTACCATGCTTGGAAAGAGTGGAACAAAGTTAAGTGTAGATAACCCCTCCTTGTACGCATAAAGAGATTAGCTAAAATCCTTTAGAAGAAGGGTTTGGATTTGATATCCCGCTTTATCACTACCCTAACGAGTCTCAAAGCGGCTAACAATCTCCTTTTCCCTTCCTCCCCCACAACAAACACTGAGAGACTTCAGAGAAGTGTAACTAGCCCAAGGTCACCCAGCCGCTGCATGTGGAGGAGCAGGGAAGCAAACCCAGTTCACCAGATTACGAGTTCACCTGCAGGAGCGTCTCCACACCCATTGTTCTGCCCGGACACTGAGGTCCAGTGCCAAGGGCCTTTTGGTGGTTCCCTCAGTGCGAGAAGCCAAGTTACAGGGAACCAGGCAGAGGGCCTTCTCGGTAGTGGCACCCTCCCTGTGGAACACCCTCCCAGCAGATGGCAAAGAGAAAAACAACTACCAGACTTTTAGAAGACATCTGAAGGCAGTCCTGTTTAGGGAAGCTTTTAATGTTTAATAGATTATTGTATTTTAATATTCTGTTGGAAGCCGCCCAGAGTGGCTGGGGAAACCCAGCCAGATGGGCAGGGTATAAATAAATTATTATTATTATTATTATTATTATTATTATTATTATTATTACCATCATCTTAACGACTACACCATG